TGTGGTTTTTGCCATTCTTTTTGTTGATGTGGTGGATGAGGTTGATGAATTTTTTAATGTTGTGCCATCTTGGCATCCCTGATATGAATCCCACTTGGTCATGGTGTATGATCCTTTTGATGTATTTTTGAATTCAGTTTGCTAATATTTTGTTGAGTATTTTTGCATTTATGTTCATCAGGGATATTGGTCTGTAATTTTCTTTTCTTGTGGTATCTTTGCCTGGTTTTGGTTTTAAAGTGATGCTGGCTTCATAGAGTGAGTTTGGAAGTATTCCCTCCTCTTCTATTTTTTGGAAAACTTTAAGGAGAATGAGTATTATGTCTTCTCTAAATGTCTGATAAAATTCAGTGGTGTATCCATCTGTCTGTCCCAGCAGTTTTATTCTTAGGTAGTTTTTTGATTACCAATTCAATTTCATTGCCGGTAATTGGTCTGTTTAGATTTTGTTTCTTCCTTATTCAGTCTTGGAAGGTTATATTTTTCTAGAAAGTTGTCTATTTCTTCTAGGTTATCCAGTTTGTTAGCATATAGCTTTTCATAGTATTCTGTAATAATTTTTTGCATTTCTATGGTATCCGTCGTGAAATTTTCCTTATTTCTGATTCTGTTTGTGTGTGAAGATTCTCTTTTTTTCTCTGGCTAGGGGTTTATCTATTTTGTTTATTTTCTCAAAGAACCAGCTCTTGGTTTCATTGATTTTTTTCTATTGTTTTATTCTTATCAATTTTATTTATTTCTACTCTGATCTTTATTATGTCCCTCCTTTTGCAGACTTTGGGCCTCAATTCTTCTTCTTCATCCAGTTTCAATAAAATTGTGAATTTAGGCTATTCATTTGGGATTGTTCTTCCTTCTTTAAATAGGCCTGGATTTTTATATACTTTCCTCTTAGAACTGCCTTTGCTGCATCCCACAGAATTTGGGGTGTTGTGCTGTTGCTTTCATTTGTCTTCATATATTGCTTGATCTGTTTTAATTTAATTTGGTCATTGATCCATTGATTATTTAGGAGCATGTTGTTAAGCCTCCATGTGTTTGTGGGGTTTTTCATTTTCTTTGCATAATTTATTTCTAGTTTCATACCTTTGTAGTCTGAGAAACTGGTTGGTAGAATTTCAATCTTTTTTAATTTACTGAGGCTTTTTATGTGGCCTAGTATGTGGTCTATTCTTAAAAATGTTCCATGTGCACTTGAGAAGAATGTGTATCCTGCTGCTTTTGGGTGTAGAGTTCTGTAGATGTCTGTTAGGTCCATCTGTTCTAGTGTGTTTGTTGTTCAGTGCCTCTGTGTCCTTACTTATTTTCTGTCTGGTTGACCTGTCCTTTGGAGTGAGTGGTGTGTTGAAGTCTCCCAAAATGAATGCATTGCATTCTGTTTCCTCCTTTAATTCTGTTAGTATTTGTTTCACATATGTTGGTGCTCCTGTGTTGGGTGCATATATATTTATAATGGTTATATCCTCTTGTTGGACTGACCCCTTTATCATTATGTAATGTCCTTCTTTATCTCTTGTTTCTTTCTTTGTTTTGAAGTCGATTTTATCTGATACAAGTACTGCAACACCTGCTTTTGTCTCCCTATTCTTTGCGTGAAATATCTTTTTCCATCCCTTCACTTTTAGTCTGTGTATGTCTTTTGGGTTTGAGGTGAATCTCTTGTAAACAGCATATAGATGGGTCTTGCTTTTTTATCCATTCTATTACTCTGTGTCTTTTGATTGGTGCATTCAGTCCATTTACATTTAGGGTGATTATTGATAGGTATGTACTTATTGCCACTGCAGGCTTTGGATTTGTGGTCACCAAAGGTTCAAGGGTAGCTTCTTTAGTATCTAACAGTGTAACTTAAACTCACTTACTACGCTATTATAAACAGTCTGATGATTCTTTATTTCTCTCCCTTCTTTTTCTTCCTCCTCCACTCTTTATATGTTAGGTGTTTTATTCTGTTTAGGAATAGTTGTATTTGCTGTATTTTCAAAATATATATGGTTTTGGGAGGAGATTTCCACCACTCTTGACAATCTCCTCTCTAATCTTTATTATTTCCTTTCACCTGCTAGTTTTAGGTTTTTTTCTTTTTCTAGTGGGTTTGGTTACAGACAGCTGTAAAGATCTCCCAAGAACTACCTTCACTACATCCAATAAGTTTTAGAATACTGTTTTCATTAGTCTCTAGATATATTCTAATTTCCCTTGTGATTTCATCTTTGAACCACTGTTGTTTTATTTCCACAAATTTGTGAATTTCCCATTTTTCCTTCTGTTACTGCCACCGTGGTCAGAGAATACTTTGTATTATGTGTTTTTAACTCAAATCCGTTAAGATGTGATTTGTGGCCTGGATATCTGGTCTATCATGGGGAATGTCCTATGTGCACTTAAGAAGAATGTATATTCTGTTGTTCAAGCCTTCTATTTTCTTTCTTTTCTTCTACTTCACTGTCCTACCTGTTGAAGTGGGTTATTGAAGTCTCCAATTATTGTAGAAATGTCTTGTTTCTCCCTTTATTTTTGCTTCATGTATGTTGATGGTGATGGTCTGTTATTAGGTACGTGTCTTTGTATTTCTTGAGTTCACTGGGATCACTGCCACTTTTCCCTTTCACACCTTTCATTCCCTTAGTTCCCTTCTTAGATGCAGCCTAAAGTCCATTATTAAAACCATTCCCTGGCATATGCTTTTCTCCCTCTCCTTCCTATTCTCCTGGCAAAATACCAACCTTGACTAAGTCTATTTCTGTCTTAAGCAGTTGGTTATGCCTGAACAAAATGTACAATTGTACTCACCAGTGTTACTTAAGTGACCATGAAATTCAAGTGAATCCTCAGCACAGCACAGCACAGCAATTCTGTTTTCCCTGGTCAATATGCTTTCAGTTTCTCAAAGTGAACTATGTTCTACTTCATTCCATTTCAAAATTATGATGCTCCAATCCAAATCTCAGCTAATGACCCTACTTCTTACTTTGCTAAGAAAATAAAAGCAACCAGACAGGACTTCTACTTACTCTTACCTCCAAATCTGTACACATAACCTCTTTTTCTCCTTATCTAGGCAGAAACTCTGTTCTTCAATTCTCCCTTACTCTCCTGCTTCACTGCTTCCCCTCTACTTGATCATTTCCATCAGCAGACATGTTGTATTAACTCCCAAAGTAAGAAAAAATCCACCTTGATCTCCTTTCAACTAGTTATTTATTTGCTTTCCTTAATAAGTTTTCTGTTTATTGTCTTTCCTTTTATACTCCCCATTTTCTCAACACATTCACTCCTTTGTGTCCATCATGCCATTACATACTATCTTTCAAAATTACTAGTCTCCACTTTGCCAGATCTAGAAGTTCACCCATATTTGACACAGTTGAGCATTCCTTAAAAACATTTCCTTCACTTGGCTTCTAACACACTATCTGGCTCATCTCCCTCTATTCAGTTACAGGCCTACATCTTTTTATTGTGCTTTGCAGATACTGCAATTTTTTTACAAACTGAAGGTTTGTGGCAACCCTGTGTCAATGAAAAGCATTTGCTCACTTCATGTTTCTCTGTTACATTTTGGCAATTATTGCAATATTTCAAACATTTTCATTATTATTTTATCTGCAATGGTGATCAGAAATTTTAACTCACTGATAAGTTCAGGTGGTGGTTAGCATTTTTAAGCAATAAAGTATTTTTAGGGTGTATATATTTCTTAAGACATACTGCTATTGCCTACTTAACACATTAGGTATAGTATAAACATAACTTTCAAATGCACTGGGAAACCAAAAAATGCATTTGACTTGCTTTATTGCAGTGGTCTGGAACCAAACCCACAATATCTCCAAGGTGTACTTGCATTTTCCTAGCTGGGTTTCCTACTAACACTCTTCACCAGTCTATATTCTTTCAGCAGGAGCCACGATGATCTTTCAGAACCTTCCAGTGTTTTCCTGTCACATTTGGAACACAAGATCTCATCATGGTCTGCAAGAGCCTAGATGATCTATGCCAATTACTCCATCCTCATCTTGTACCACTCTCCCCTAGTCTTCATTTACTCTACATGCATCACACTGGCCACCTTACTATTCCTTGAACCTGCTAAGCTTTTATATTTAAAAGGGTACTTGCTCTCTCTGCATGGAATGCTCATTCACGAAATATTTGTGAGGCTGCCTGCTTCACCTCATTCAGGTCTCCATTCTAGTGTCAATCCAGAAAGGCCCTCCCTACCCACCACCACATCTAAAGCAGACACCCCTCCACACCCACTCCCATTACCACCACCCCTTTATCCTGCTTTAGTTTTCTTTATAAGCATCAGTGTCTGACATACACTATTTATCTATCTGTATACACACACTTACTGTTTTCTCTCCCCACAAAGCAACTATATCCCCAATATCTTCAATACACCTGGAACATATTGGTGTTCAGCAACCTTTTGTTAAATGAGTGAGAAGTAAGTGGTACCTATCCTCCTCTTTTTGTGAATGAGAAACCTGAGACCCAGATAAAACTAGGGCCTGGCAGAGGAAATGTCTCTTTTTAGTGAAAACTGGCATTGTTTTTTTCATGGTGCTAAGCCATTTGAGATATTCCTTAAGTACTTTGATTAATTATTAAAATAACTAAAATTGAATGCTATATCAGTATTCACATTTCTCCTACATGGTAAATTGTCTAGATAGGGTCCAGCTAGACTCTCCTCAGATTTATTACTGACTCTTCTAAAATTTAGGAAAGGGGTTTTTCTAGGTTTCATCCCATATCCTTTACAGTCTCCTCTCCATCACAGCTCAAAAGGAGTCATCAGCAACATCTCACCTCACCAGCCAAAAGGAATACAAAATAGGAAGCTATAAAGGGATCCGTAGTGTCTCCTGGAACCCCTGAATAACAACTGCCTCCTTAACACAAAATGAGGCCTTGCCAAATTAGAATTATACTGCCAAAGGTCTCAACAGCATCTGAGCTACATGCAGAATGATAAAAATAGGCAGACATACTTGACATTTTATAAGGATGTCAAAGAAGTCTTCATCGGGCTCTTTGTTGTCATGAGTCATCAGGTGGCTAATTACTGACTGACTGTTGTGTTGTGTCAGACGAAGCCCTGGCAAATTACTGAAACTGGCCCTCTGGTCATCCAGCCGGCGGCTCTGTGAGCTGGCAAGAAGATCTAAAAACTCATCCGTGTTGGGAGACACTGTAGGAACAGATGGCGCTATGAATAGGAAAAAAAAATCCAAAACATTACCATATGTTAAGTATATTTATGATATACATATAGTTCCCTTCCACCATATTCAGTTCCAGCAAACCCCCACCCCGCCATCGTGCTAGTTTGCTCCTCCCTGACAGGCTGGGGCCTGCTGAGATGGGTTTGGAAGGGAAGAATGAATCCTAGAGTACTTCAAATAACCTATTTGGAGGTTATTCAGATTTGACTGTATTTTCCTTTATCTGATGCCAACCCAAAATGGAACTTTACAAGATAGAGGGCTACATTATAGAAGGTAAATAGTTTCTCTTATATAACTTCTCAGACCAGGATGAATGGGGCAGTGTTTTTATTCCATGTCCTGTATAAGAAGCATTTAGCTAATTAAACTTTAGGGTTCTAAGTGGTGCTGGCACATATTGATCTATGGTACAGGAAGTTTTTTGGTAGCCGAAATAGAAAAATTTTAATTTACATTTTAAATAGTTTATTTAAACAAGTAACAGCGGCAGTTTCCTCTACAGGCTGTCTTGATTTTTCTTTTTTAATCCGGGTATGAAGCATTTGCATAAAATTTTAAGTTACATATAATTTTTTCATTATTTTTATTTTCTAAAGTGAGATTTTCATCCCAACCCCAAAGAATCTAGGAAGCAGTATGATACTGTTAGTAGAAAGTGCACTAGAATAGAAATACAGTTTCAACTTAAGGGAACTGAAACAAAACCTTGTTTTGAACTATACAAATACCAGCAGTTCAGATATGCCTAATTCAGATTCATTTGTCACACCCTCTATGATTTAAATTGGGGGAGCAGTACAGATAACTTACTTTTTAGCATCGTTCTAGGGGGAGTGGAAGAAGTTGCAGCTGAAGCTGTCCCACAATTCTTTACTTGTAAGCAGCACCTCTGATCATCCATCCGATTGCTTTGAAATCGGCTTAATAGGTCAAAGAACGCTTCATCAGCAATAGTATCTGCACTGATTTTCTGAAATATCAAGAGAAAATCTAAATAATCCACCATTATCCTTACATGATCAATGGAACTCCCATGATACACTCAAATGCAAAAGATAAACTCTGAAGGTTAAAGAATAACTGGAGTTTTCTTTACAAAATATACTAAATGGCAACATTGGTAACAAGTTCTATCAGTCCAACTAACTAAAAGCATTTCTAGTTATTTTAGTTTTTAACCCTTGTATTGCTAAGGCTAAAGAAATGTCTTCAGACTCAGGGGAAACTGCTTCAGATCCTGAGTGAATTATGTAAATATTAGTAAGACAAATATCCCAGGCTCCAAGTTCATTTCTAAGATGCTACAACAGAATATAACTAATTTTTTTAAAAACTGAAAACTAAGTAAGAAAGCCTGTGTATTTTCTTGGCATAGTCATTTCCAAAGTCTTTAATTATATTTAAAGATTTAGAGATCCTGGAAAAAAATGTAAACTTCAAATAAATATTTGGGGCAGAGGGGAAAGTCATACTTTACTTGTCATAGTCATACATTATTTAGAAGGCTTCAGAACAAATGATGAATGCAATATTGAATAAAATAATTATTTTTCATAATGATTTAAGTAGTAATAAAGATATATAAATACAAAATGTTATGTACCTCAAAAGAAGGGTGGAACTAATTCTTATAGGAAATAGGGGAAACTGTGATATTTGAGTTGGCTCCTGAAAAATAAGCATTTGTGGGGTAGAGATGTTTTATGATTATATGCAATTCCAAAGGTTTGTAGTATTCAGCGGATAATGACCTGAAGGGTAGGGGAAGTGAGGAGTGAAGAAGCTGCCAAAACAAGGGCCTCTGTATGACACACTAACAAAACTTTATCCTATGTGAAATAAGGGGAGCACTAGTAATTAGTCAATCTAAGCAGTTTTGTACAGAAACAGAACTGACCCCTTGTGGGTAAAATCACAGTATTTCCAGAATCTCTTGCCTGACCTTAGTACATCTCCATATCAACAGGTGATTACAAGGTGGGTGGGGAGTAAGCAGACACCTGGACGGGAGAGTTTTGGTGGGGTCTTTTTGCAGCAGGGTCACAAAAGACATGGGTGAGAAGTAGACAACTGTTCATAAGCAATAAATGCGTTTCTTCCACTTTATCTCTCTCTCTGACTGATTTTGGTTTCAAAGGCTTATTTGCCCTGGGCTGGGAACATATTCTCCCTTCACCCCACCCCGGAGTTACACACTCCTTCAGTGGGTTGCAGGGGTTAAATACTGTAGGGAGAGAGATCAGTTCAGGTGCCTATTCCAGAAATTTGGGTAAGAGATGAAGTGGTATACACTAAGAAGACATAATAGCAGGCATTTTTTTTTTTAAGGAGTGGAGGCAGATCTGAGCGATATATAGTGATTAACTTGATATGATTAGTAAAGGAGAAGGAGTCTAGAATGAAACCTGAAATCCCAGCTTGGCACACCTTTAATACAGTTTTTAATATGTTAAGTTTGAGGTTTGGGAATGATAGGTATGTACATAAGTATAGTCAAATGCATTAATCACTAACAAAAATACTTTTTCATTAGGGCAACAAAGCCTCTCATTCAAAATTCTGAACATGAAAACACAGTAAAGGCTCCAGTTAAGACTGTAAACCTTAAACAAAGGTATGCCTTCCTGTTCTGCTCTGAATCTACAAAAATATTCCTGAGCGGTTTTTATATGCTGAATTACAGAGTTTCCTTCTGCTAGTTATACATGTGTATGAAACATACAAAACATAAAAATCAAGGCAATGGATGGCAATAAGGGTGCCAATACAGATGGAATGCTGACAAGACCAATAGAAATATGTAAAAAAAAAATTTTTTTTCTTGGATGCTCTCACTGCTTGAAAGATACACTTGGCAAATTGAAGTATCTTATTTCTAATTTCTTTTGATCAGAGTGTAGGGTAGCTAAGTTAGAGAAGCTCTTGAACTTACTAGTAAGCCCATGGTATTTTTAAAATTCCAAATAAGTTACAGTTAATAACCTGATTACTCTGCTCATTTTTTATCAAAATAGTTTTTAACTATTATTATTTTAAGAATATAAACAGAAGTTAATACTAGCAGACACTTCATTTTAAGTTAGTATTTAAAAATCCCTTAACATCGTAATTTGCTTGTTCTGACTTCTAAGCTGGAGGACAGTTTTACCTGGGAGACACTGCAATGAAATAAAAGGTAGTATTTTTGCAAACAAAAGTGTCTTATAACACACACAAAAAATTATTACCCAAAGCAGTGGAGCGACTTATCTATGAATGGAGTAATTTACGGTTTCTAGTTTTGAAGATAAAAGAGAGAAATATGGAATACTTCCTTGAATAACAAAGACTTTATATTAGATGTCTAATATACATTAACAAAAAATCAGTATGAATAAAACTAAAATGTAGGTATTCAAAACAATACTCAAAAACTTATTTTATACATACCCTCTCAGAATTCGGAATTCGGTGATCAATGGAATTACTGGCATCTTGGAGAACTTTGGTGGAAGAATTAGTTTTGTATTTTTTCCCCTTCAGTCTGTTGACAAACAGTAGCTTTGCAGAAGGTTTGGCAATAAGAGGTTTTTGTTTAGCAAGAATCTCACTGTTCCAGTTCTGTACCTAACAAAATTACAAATGTAAGTGGGAAGCAGGACATGAAAAAACAGACCACCAAAGCTATCTCTGGTTTCCTGTAGTGTTAAACTGCCATCTGCACCTGTTTAGTATGGGGCATGGGGGCTTTAGATGTCTTAAATTCCTTTTGTATATCTCACTGTTTTCAACAGCTTATACCAAATGTGTACATTATTAAACATTAAAATGGTGACTTTTAAAAACTTAATAAAACAAAATTTGCCAATCACATAACAATAAGGTTTGAATGGTCAGAGAAGGAGCCAAGGTTTTATTCTAGATGTGAGTCACTTAAAAATATTACAATTGGAAATTTTGGATGTATGTAGAATTTTTAACTGAGGCATTTTCAGACATCCAAGGTCTTAAGTTTTCTTCCAACTGCGTTTCCCAGGAGGCATCTTAATTCAGAAGTCTCTGTTCTTTTTATGTACTTCTTGATGTTGAGAATAAAATAATTCCTTGACAACTTTATTATGAGTAAAAGAAACCAACATAAAGGAATTCCACTCAAACTTATTTTAGAGATAAAATTTTATGATCATTTGGCTTTGGAAAATAACAGGGTTGCATTTGGTCAGCTTCTTAATGAAATTAATTTTGTTACTTGTTAGTAGGTTCCTATAAGAAGGAAAGGAGTCCCAAATTGTGTTAAAAGTTTTTGTGGTTTGGGTTTTTAAAAAATAATTTGTAGATTTCAAGATCTGACGATGACTCAGCCAGATATAATGGGTATTTAGGGAAACATCATTAAGTCCTACAGAAGTTAATTGGGAGTTTTTAAACAACTCAAATTGGAATAAAAAAAATACGGGCTATAAGTTCAATTAGATGTTGGCCTTATGAAGACTTCACACAAAAAAATGTCAGTATTCAGACATCATATACCTCATAACAATAGAGCAAAAGAATATTTAACATGGAAAGATGTTCTTGATTACCACATATTATAAAAGAGTACCTATAATATACTACTCAAATGAAAATGCAGGATGAATAAATCCAAAATATTAATTGTAGTTACCACAGGAAGGTGGTATTAGTGATAATTATAAATTCCTTTTTGAAATTTTCAAGTTATTATAATGAACATATAAAAAGAACTTTTAAAAGTACATAAGCTACATAAAGGTACAAGAGCCCCCTTTAACAATGTAAACTTAAATAGAGGTGGAAGAAAGCAGTCTAGATTTGTTCTTCAGTAAACTTTTCCAATTATAAAGTCCTGTTACTTTAAAAAAAAAGCCTAGAGAAGATGCATCTTATATAAAAAGTTGTTTAAAAAAAAGCTTGCCCATAAATATCACTAATGTTGCTGTTACTGAGTAGAAAAAAAGACTCCTGACCCTTTTTCATTTTCCTGATATTTTAATAAAAAAAATACATGTACATGGTAAAATATTCTAATAGTCATACTGGTATATAAAGTATTCTCCTAACTCAGACAACCCAATCCTTTTCCCAGAGGCAACTTTTGTTAGCAAGTTTATTAAATGTTCTTTCAGAAATGTTCAATTTATCTACAAAGGATATATATGCATGCAACTTTTTAAACAACTACTGTACACACTTTTTGCACTCTACTTTTTGATTCTTTTTAAAGGAAAGTTTTAAAGTGACACATAAGATATGGTTTATTTAAACTGCTACATCTAAATTAAAAGTTACTAAGACAGAAGTTCAAGATATTTAAAACATAAAAACTGCCAACCTTTTCTGGTGTTAACTTCATAAGTTCCATGTTTTCCATACTGTGTCGGCGTTCAAACTTACGTCGTGCACCTTTATGAAATAATTTAAATAAATTAGGGAGCCCTTAAAGACTACAAATTCAGCATCGCTGTGTTATTCAATTTTTTTTTGGTATCATTAATCTACAATTACATGAGGAACATTATGTTTACTAGGCTCCCCCCTTTGTGTTATTCAATTTTAAAGCCTATTTATACAAACCCTTATGGAAGGAGGAAACATATAATCATGTGTCTTTTAAGAATAGTAGTTTTCCATACCGACTACATAAAAGTAAAATATATACTTCCTCTAAAATGCTTTAATATAAGGAAGTTACATTTTGGTTGGAAACTCACTTTGGTTACTAACATTACCCCATAATTTAGAAGCAGCATTTTAATAGTAACTGGTTCTTTGCTATCCACACAATCTCTTTAAAACAAGAGATATTTTAATTAAAAACAAAAGTAATACATGTACACAGTAAAATATTCTAATAGTTCAAACTGGTATACAGTATTGTAGCTCAGACACCTAATCCTTTTCTCAGAGGCAACTGTTGTTAGCAAGTTTTTTATATGTTCTTTCAGAAATGTTTGATTTGACTACAAAGGATATATTTGCATGCAACTTTTTGATGATCTCCTTTATATCTGGAATCTAAAAAATGTTTAGAAATTTTTTAAAAAAACCTAAATTCATAGAAAAAGAGATCAGACTTGTGGTTACCAGAAGCAGAGGGTAGAAGGAGGGATGGGAGAAGGGTGGTCAAAAGATACAAACTTGCAGTTATGAGATGATTTAAGTACCAGGGATGTAATATACATGATGACCTTAGCTAACACTGCTGCAGATAAATTGGGAAGTTCAGAGTTCTCATCACAAAAAGAATTTTTTTTTCCTATTTTCCTCTTTTCTTTTTGTTGTATCTACGTAATATAGATATTAGCTGACCCTGTTAGTAATCATTTCACAATATATGTAAATCACCGTATGCCTTATATAGTGATGTATGTCAATTATTTCATTAAAACTGCAAAAAAATTAAAAAGCACAAAATTATTACAGTAGAAAAACAACTATCAAGTGGTTTATGTAAGTAAAAACAAGGAAAAGGCTTTAGGTCTTCCATTTTGAGCTAAGAATCAAAATAACATCCAATGTGATATTGTTACTCTTTTCTGAGTTACCCATTTCCATTTTAAGATTTCATTAAATGACAGATTTACCACCAGTCAGGAAACAAACAAAAAAGGTCAATTATTTTCAATAACTATTAAAAATAGAGAATTTTCATATCCAATCTTTGACAATTATGAAGTATTTTAAAAGGCATAATGTAAGGAATACATGATAGCCAATATCCCGTCTAATAAATAAACCATTACCAACACATTAACTTCCCCTATGTAATTACCCCCATAACTTTCTTCTTCCTTTGAGCAATCTTAATATCTGCCAGATTCATCCAAGTTGTTATGTGTAATTTAATTTTTCATTTCCATTTTAGGACTAGGAAATAATTCATCCATTCTAATGGTGACACATATTTAGGTTGCCTCCAATTTTTTGTTGTTATAAGTAACTCTACAGAAATTCTTGCAAATATCTCTTAGTATACATGAGAAAGCATTTCTTCCAGTTTGGCTATCAGAGGTATATAACTGGGAGTGGAAATGTTGGATCATACAGTTGGTAAATCTTCAACTTTACCAGAATGTTGCCAGATTGTTCTTTAGAGTTTATCAATTTGTATTCCCATCGACTGCATACATTTCTCTTACGCATTGTTTGAATTTTGGTATTACATGACTTTTTAAATTTTGTCCACCTCATAGGTTTTCACTAATACCTCCTCATAGTTTTCCCGAATTACATGGATTAAATATCTTTTCATGTATTTGTGGGCTATTTGTGTTTCTTTTGTTCATCACTTTTGCCCATTTTTTAGTTGGGTTATTTATCTTATTTTTAATTCATAGGAATTCTTATACACTGAGGATATAAATCCTTTTTTAAATCATGTATGTGCCAAATATTCTGTTTGACGTCTTTATGGTTTCTTTTAATGAAATAAAGTTGTTAATTTCAATGTCAATCTTTTCATTAATGGTTTGTTTTCATGTCTTGAAAAATCTTTCCTCTCCCTGATACAATGAAGATATTGTCCTAATTGAGCATGAACTCTAAGGCCAGGTAACTCACTCATTTGTGGTATGACCATGGGCAATTACTTTTCTGTGATTCAGTTTTCTCATCTGTAAAGAACATTACTTATCTCATATCACTGTATGGTAAAAAATGCATCATTATCCCTAAAGGGGTCAGTACAATGCCTGATAAAGTAGTAAGCATTCAGCAAGTCTACAGCAAGATTATTCAAGAAATTCTATTCATTTACCTTTCTTGTATTCTTGTCTAGTTATACTATTCTCAAAAAGACTGATAAAGTGTTCCCATATTTCCAGTTATCTACAAAATTTTGTAGAAAGTTGGGATCAATTTTCTTAAACGTTTCATAGACCTCATTTGTAAAATCATCCTGAGGCAGGTGATGGTGGTTCACAGGCAGATAGAGTTCAGGGCCCCAGTAAGTTTCAAGGCCATTGAAGTTTCAAAAAAAAAAAAAAAGGCTCCAATCCAACTCAGCCATTCAAAAGTATATCTAGACCTCAGCTCTGATTGGTTATGCCCTATGCAAATGAAGCATTATACTTCAGCCAATCAGGAGTGAGCTGTGATGTCATTAGTTCAACTGTCCATTAAGTCAGTGGGGCAAAACTTCCTCCTCTCAATAAGTAATATAGAATGAAATACCTAGGAATAAACCTAACCACGGAAGTGAAAAACCTATACCCTGAAAACTACAAGACACTCATGAGAGAAATTAAAGAAGTCACCAATAAATGGAAATACACTCCCTGCTCATGGATAGGAAAAATTAATATTGTCAAAATGGCCATCCTGCCTAAAGCAATCTACAGATTCAATGCAATCCCTATCAAAATACCAACAGTATTCTTCAACGAACTAGAGAAAATCGTTTAAAATTCATATGGAACCACAAAAGACGCCGAAAAGCCAAAGCAATCCTGAGAAGGAAGAATAAAGCTGGGGGGATTTACCCTCCCTGACTTCAAGCTCTACTACAAAGTCACACTAATCAAGACAATTTGGTACTGGCACAAGAACAGACCCATAGATTAATGGAAAAGGACTAGAGAGCCCAGATAGAAACCAAAGCATATATGGTCAATTAATATGATAAAGGAGACATGGATATACAATGGGGAAATAAATGACAGCCTCTTCAACAACTGGTGTTGGCAAAACTGGACAGCCACAGGTAAGAGAATGAAACTGGATTACTGTCTAATTCCATACACAAAAGTAAACTCAAAATGGATCAAAAACCTGAATGTAAGTCATGAAACCATAAAAACTCTTACAAGGAAACACAGGCAAAACTCTTAATATAAACATAAAGAACTTCTTCATGAACATATCTCCACGGGCAAGGGAAACAAAAGCAAAAATGAACAAGTGGGCCTATATCAAACTAAAAGCTTCTGTGCAGCAAAGGACACCATCAGAACAAAAAGGCATCCTACAGTGTGGGAGAATATATTCATAAATGACATATCCAAATAAGGGGTTGACATCCAAAATATACAAAGAGGTCATGCACCTCAACAAACAAAAATCAAATAATCCAATTAAAAAATGGGCCTAGGATCTGAATAGACACTTCTCCAAAGAAGAAATTCAGATGGCCAACAGACACATGACAAGATGCTCCACATTGCTAATTATCAGGGAAATGCAAATTAAAACCACAATGAGTTATCACCTCACGCCAGTTAGGATGGCCAGCATTGAAAAGACTAGGAACAATAAGTGCTGGTGAGGATGCAGAGAAAGGGGAACCCTCCTACACTGCTGGTGGGAATGTAAGCTAGTTCAACCATGGTGGAAAGCAATATGGAGGTTCCTCAAAACACTAAAAATAGGAATACCATTTGACCCAGGAATTCCACTCCTAGGAATTTACCCAAAGAATACAAGTTCTCAGATTCAAAAAGACATATGCACCCCTATGTTTATTGCAGCACTATTTACAATAGCCAAGATATAGAAGCAACCTAAGTGTCTATCAGTAGATGAATGGATAAAGAAGATGTGGTACATATACCCAATGGAATACTACTCAGCCGTAAGAAGAAAATAAATCCTACCATTTGCAACAACATGGATGGAGCTAGAGGGTATTATGCTCAATAAAATAAGCCAGGAGAAAGACAAGTACCAAATGATTTCCCTCATTTGTGGAGTGTAACAATGAAGCAAAACTGAAGAAACAAAACAGCAGCAGACTCACAGACTCCAAGAAAGGACTAGCAGTTACCAAAGGGAAGGGGTTGGGGAGGGAGGGAGAAGGGGATTGAGGGGCATTATGATTGGCATACATGGTGTATGGGGTTTATGAGGAAGACAGTGTAGCACAGAGAAGACAAGTAGGGACTCTGTGGCATCTTACTACACCGATGGACAGTGATTGCAGTGGGGTGTGTGGGCGACTTGATGAGTGAATGTAGTAACCACAATGTTTTTCATGTGAAACGTTCATAAGAGTGTATATCAATGATATTTTAATAAAAAATAAAAATAAAAAGATTATAGATCAATGATACTTTAATAAAAAAAAAAAAGCTACCACAAGTGATCTGCTTGTGCAAAAAAAAAACAAGTGATATAAACCCCTAGACACTGCTGCCTCAGCAGCGTCCTCCCATGGATCCTCTCCTGATTAGCAGGATTCATTTTCTTTTCACTTACTAAAATCTTTGCTGGTTACTCTGTACTCTTTGCTGGCTTCATTCCTCATCACCTCTAAGACACAATCCTGGGAAAAACAGCATCTCAGCCAGTAACAATCCTGGTCAGGTATTTTCTTAGTGGGAATATTTCAAGTTACCGATCAAATACCTTTATGGTTTTAGGCATTAGGGATGCCATTCATGTTACATTCTACCATTAGATTTTTCTATTTTTTTCTTGATTCAGTTTTGGTAAGTCGTTTTCCTAAAAACTGTCCATTTTGTCTGTTTTCAAATATTACTCATGGTTGGCTTGTTTCTTTATGTATTTGGTAATTTTTTGTTCTAATTCTTTATAGGCTTGGATCAAGGATATTTTCCTCCAGAAAATATTTGATCTTACTTCTGCTAAGTCCCTAGGGGTGTTTCTAGCTCAAAAGCACTTTATGGATTGGGATTTCTTACACTGTGTGGGTAGAATAAATAAGATTCCAGACCATTATATATAGGAAGGCTTATGAATTCAGATTCTTATTAGGCAAGAATCCTTTTCCTCACCCTGAGGCAACACCAGAAATACACAAGTTTCCCTGCAGTTTCTATAGCCAGCACAGTTCCTGGCACTGGGGACATAGCAATGAACAAAAGAGATAAAAAAATACCTGTTGAGAAAGGGGAGAGTGGTAGGAAATAATGGTGAAGAAGCAGGTTGGGTCCAGATTATAGAGGGCCTTTTCAACACAGTGAGGAGTGAGGTGTGATGGGAAGTCCTTAGAGGGTTTTGAACTGAGAAATGACATGGTATTATTTATATTAAAAAAAAAAGAGCACTCTGGCTGCTATATGGAAAAGTAAGTGTGAGTGATGAATAATGGAAGCAAGAGAAACAGTTGGTAGTCTAGTATTCTCCTGGGAGATGTTGGTAGTTTATACTAACATTGTTGCAGTGTGCATTGTTAAGAGAGATTAGGGATATATTTTGAAGGTAGAGTTTCTGATAGGTTGGATGTAGGAGTGAGTGGGGAAAAAATGGGGGAAAGAAGAGTAACATGGTAACTTTTAGATGCCAATTAGACATTCAAATGGAAATGTTAAATATATGAATCCCGAACTCAAAAGAGAAATTATGACTGGAAATGTCAATTTGAAAATCATCAGTATTTAGATAATATAAAAGCCAACCAACTGAATGAAATTACCTAGAGTTGTGCTGTCCAATACAGTAGCCACTAACTACATGTGACTTTTTAATTTTTAATTAATTAAATATTAAAAATTCACTTCCTCTTTTATACTAGCCATATTTCAAGTGCTTAATGGCCACTTTGGCCTAACGGCTATTATACTGGACAGCACAGATATAGAACATTTCTATCTTCACAGAAAGTTCTGTTAGAAACACTGGCCTAGAGTGTAGGATAAGTGGAAAAAAGGACAAAATTAGGAAGGAAGAATAGACAGATGGACAGAAAACAGGTAGGGAAAGAAGGGGGAAGGGAGAAGAGGTCTAAAAATTAAAGGGTGGGCACCAAAATTTTGAGGATGGAAAGATGAGGAGGAGAGGGGAGAGTAATGAAGACTGACAGTGGCCAGTGATGTGGAGGCAAACTGGAGGCCAAATGAGGAAAGTATCTTGGGAAGGGAATGCTCAGCTGTAGGAAATAGTGCTGAGAAATCAAGTAAGCAGTCATCTGCAAAACTAATCAATGTATTTGGTAAAATGGAGGCCTCTGGTAACCTTGAGATGGTTTCAGTGTCATGATGGGGCCAAAGCCCAAGCAGAATGGGTTGAGGAGAGAATGGGAGGTGAGGAAGTAAAGACAATGAACACTGATATTATTTTCGGATTTTGTTATAAAGGAGAAAAAAAGAGTAGGTCTGTATAGCTAGAGGGGTCCATGAATATAAGAAATAGGTTGTCAAAATGTGAGCTATTTGAGCATAGTCATTTGAAAATTAAACACAGGAAAACTTTTTAGCCCATTATTCAATTTCAAAGCACAAAGTCACAATTTATTATATCACTCATACTTGAGAATTTTTCACTAAATGTTCTTTCAATCAGATGATTAGCCATACATTTCTTTTCCTCCCTTATTTTCTTTATATGGGTTTAGAGAAGGAAATTGGAAAGATTAAAGCTTGATTTTTCTCTGACTTTCAAGTTCAAAACATTTGTCTGGGAAGTAATGTTTTCAGCTGAGAATTTTTTAAGTTTAGGCGAGAACTATAAAATGGATCTCACACAGTCACATATAGATAGCATTTAAAAATGTGATTCTAATCTTGTCCCTTTTACTTCTTTAATCAAAAGTAGGGTTGTTGTTTTTTTCCACTTAGAAATAGACATTATAGCATGGTTTTTCCTGTAGCAATTTCAAACCAAATCAGTACCTAAAGAAAATGTTTTGGTTTTCTGAATTTAAAAAAAGAAAACAATCTTAGGAAATTTCACCTTAGAAATGAAACTGGGAAAAAAAGGGCTAAACAAAAATCAAATATGTAGAAATATTTGGCATAAAAAGTAAACAAAATGGTAAAATGTTTTAATTTTTGCATTTTCACATTCATAAACTTTTGAATGAGCCGAGATACAGTATTAAAATATACTGTTACAAAAGAAAATAATTGTACCTTTACCATTCCCATTAAGTTCATGATAAAACTATAAAATATGGTATTCTACAGTGATTAAAAGGACATTGATAAAACAAAAAAGTATAAAAAGTTGAGCTTCCTTTGTTATGTATTCTCTCTGGATATGGTAAACACATAAGTAATTTAAATACAGATCTTGACAATAAAAATTAATTTGAAGACCTATTACTTACCATGCAAACTGTTACCAATTTCAATATTTTCAGACATTATTGAATTATTTGTGCTGTAGCTCAGACCAAGAACCATTTGAAGATCTGAGAGATTCAGTCGTGCTGTTAGTTCACCACTTCTATCGCCAACCTACAACCACAATCATTATAGAGTAGTATTTAAAGACAAAGAATGGTGAAAATTAGTTGAAAATGTTGTGAACCTAAAACTGGAAGAAAATATAAAGAAATGAAAATAGTTACATTAGAATTATGAGATTATGAATGAAATGGATTTTTTCATAGTTTTTTTAAAGCATAAAGAAAGAAAAGGGAAGTTTCTAAGATATGGCAAAAGGAGAGCTAGTTATATCCTATCAATTCTTGAGTTCTCTAAATATTAGATTGCTCAATCTCTATGCTATTATATAATAATGTAGGTTATTCTGTGACACATTAACTTAGCATGACTTCAATAAGATTTCATTAAAATATTTTACATCCATACTATAGTATTATTAATTAAGCCAGCACTACAGATTATACCAGGCACTTTAATATACATTATCTGTAATCCTTACAATGATTTGCAAGATAGACATTTTTTTTATTCCCGTTTTACAGATGAGAGAAATAAGAATCAGAGAAGGCTTCCAAGCTCAAATTGCAGCAACTGGCAATACTGTAACAGGAACCAGTCTTTGATTCTAAAAACCGTGTTTGTCCTTCCATCCCATGCTACTTTTCCATGTAGAGATAGGAGGCATATTTTCATTCTTTCCATTCCAGACACACACACACACACACACACACACACACACACACACACACACACTATTATTCAACAATATAGGAGCAATCTAGAGAAATAACAGGGCTTTCCTTTATGCTGGTTTGTGAATCACAATAGCACAGATAGCAATTTTTTAGTTTCATACCTCTCTTGAAATTTCCAAGTGCTTTTCAGCAAAATTCATTGCTTGATCATGATTTCCTAGAGCTGTGTATGCATTTCCTAAGCTCCAACATGCTCTTCCTTCACCAATTCTACAAAATAATTCAAAGCTAACATGCAGTTACCTCCTATGTGTGTAATATAAGCTATTTAGCAATAATTAAAGGCATGAACAATGCTTTGGACTTATTTGGTCTTTCATATAAAGAGCATACATACTATCATTAATATTAGAGACATATTAGAATATCCAGATAATACTGGAGTCAGTCATGTACTGAAATGCAAAACATCCTTTTTAAACATGCAATGTATTATAAAACAATAAAATCTTGGGATACATCTTATAGTTCAACCATCCCATTTTCTTTCTATGACAGCCCTACTGTTATAGAAAGGTAACCATTCAGTTCATGTTTGAAAATCACCAAGGAGGGAGAACTCACTGCCTTCCGCAGTGCCATACTTCATTTTGAACAGTTGTGTAGAGAAATTCTTCATAGTGAGGTAAAAATCTATCTTCCTAAAGCAAATGTCACAAACACCACAGACTGAAGGCCTGCACAGCTACACTGTTTTTTCATACAGTGGGGAAAAAAAATTAGCCATCAACATTTAAAAATCAGAAGATTTCATATAACTCAAGATTTTTAATCTTCTTTTTAAAAAAGAGAATGATCTGGGTATCACAGACCCTTGTTCCTGCCTGGCAATAATTAGCTAGAATTGAATAGCTGTCCTCTTTACAGTAGGCCTTATCTCTAAGTTCACCTCAATTCCCACATTGATGTAGTCAGGAGGACCATTGTAGGCAATTGAGTTTGTGACCAATTTACTATTCAAGGTTACATGAAACCAGTCTAATCTTCTAAAACATATTAGCCCTTCAAACAATAATATACAGAAGATGTTACTGAAACAGGATATTCCTTAAGGATTTAAAGAGAAAATAAAGGAAACAAACAAAAAAAGAAACTTAAAAACAAGACAAAAACTCTAGTGATTCAGAAATGTCTCTATAGTTTATCATAACTATAGTAAAAAGACATGTAACTTACCTATCACTTAGCTCTTGAGCAATTGCTAAGTGCTTCAGATGATAATCAATGGCTTTTTCATAGTCTTGGAGTAAAGTATATGTGTTTCCAAGACTGTAACAAGACTGTGCTTCTACAGCTCGGTCTTTAAGCTGTCTAGCCAAGAGTAGTGTCTTCCTAAAAGAAATTAATTATTATATAATAATCATTTTAACTTTTGCCTATATTAATCATAAAAAAAAACTTACTTTTCCTCCTGCCTTCAAAGTAAATCTGTTTTTGAGTCTAACGTCCCATACTTTTAGACAAAATGAAAAGATGTCTTTGAAACACAAAAAGCAAATCCAGACTTCTGGAATAAATTTGAGAGTCCTATTAACTCTCCAGAGGAAAGGAGTATGGACATATGAGATCAAGTGTCTCTAATGAGTAATACAGTATTTTGAACATTAAAAAAAATTTCCCTGTGGTAGTGACAATAACGTAAGGTAGGAGGCTTCTGTCCACATAATCTCTCTTTTCTATCATACTGTTGCCTTTATAGTTTGCCAAATTTTAAAATACTTAGTTCAAATTCCTATGTGTTGTAAATGGTCTGAATGCACCAATCAAAAGACAGAGTCACTGAATGAATAAAAAACAAGACCTGTCTATATGCTGCCTACAAGAGATTCACGTCAAACCCAAAGACATACACAGACTGAAAGTAAAGGGATGAAAAAGATATTTCATACACAAAAAGGGAGGAAAAAGCAGGTGTTGCAGTACTTGTATCAGATAAAATAGATTTCAAAACAAAGAAAGTAACAAGACACAAAGAAGAACATTACACAATAATAAAGAGGTCAGTCCAACAAGAGTATATAACCATTATAAATATCTATGCATCCAACACAGGAGCACCTACATATGTGAAACAAATACTAACACAATTAAAGGGGGAAATAGAATGCAATGCATTCATCTTAGGAGACTTCAACACACCACTCACTCCAAAGGACAGATCGATCAGACAGAAAATAAGTAAGGACACAGAGGCAAAGAATAACATATTAGAACAGATGGACCTAACAGACATATTCAGAACACTCCATCCAAAAGCAACAGAATACACATTCTTCTCAAGTGCACATGGAACATTTTCGAGAAGAGATCATATACTAGGCCACAAAAGGAGCCTCAATAAATTAAAAAAGACTGAAATTGTACCAACCAGCTTCTCAGACCACAAAAGTATGAAACTAGAATAAATTACACAAAGAAACCAAAAAAGCCCACAAAGGGAGGCTTAACAACATGCTCCTAAATAACCAATGGATCAATGACCAAATAAAAACAGAGATCAAGCAATATATGGAGACAAATGATAACAATAATTCAACAATGCAAAATCTGTGGAACACAGCAAAGGCTGTGCTAAAAGGAAAGTATATTGCAATACAGGCCTACCTCAGGAAAGAAGAACAATCCCACATGAACAGTCTAAACTCACAATTAATGAAACTAGAAAATGAAGAACAAATGAGGCCCAAAGTCAGTAGAAGGAGGGACATAATAAAGATTAGAGCAGAAATAAATAAAATCAAGAAGAATAAAACAACAGAATCAATGAAAGCAGGAGCTGGTTCTTTGAGAAAATAAACAAAATAGATAAACCCTTAGCCACACTTATCAAGAAAAAAAGAGTCTACACACAAAAACAGAATCAGAAATGAGAAAGCAAAAGTCACTATGGACACCACAGAAACACAAAGAATTATTAAATACTATGAAAAAATATATACTAACAAATTGGATAACCTAGAAAAATGGAAAACTTTCTAGAAAAATACCTTAGAAGGCTTATCCAGGAAGAAACAGAAAATCTGAATAGAGTAATTACCAGTAATGAAACTGAACTGGTAATCAAAAAACCACCTACAGATGGTTTCACTGCTGAATTTTATCAAACATCTAGTGAAGACCTGATATACATCCTCCTTTAAGTTTTCCAAAAATAGAAGAGGAGAGAATACTCCCAAACTCATTCTACAAGGCCAGCATCACTCTAATACCAAAACAAGGCAAAGACACCACAAAAAAAGAAAATTACAGACAGACCAATATACCTGATGAACATAAATACAAAAATACTCAACAAAATATTAGCAAACTGAATTAAAAAATACATCAATAAGATCATCCATCATGATCAAGTAGGATTTATTCCAGAGATGAAAGGATGGTACAACATTCGAAAATCCATCATCATCATCCACATCAACAAAAAGAAAAACCACATGATCATATTCACAGATGCTTCTGAAAAAGCATTTGACAAAATTCAACATCCATCCATGATAAAAACTCTCAACAAAATGGGTACAGAGGGCAATACCTCAACATAACAGCCATATATGACAACTCACAGCCAACATCATACTTAACAGCGAGAAGCTGTAAACTTTTCCTTTAAGATCAGGAACAAGACAAGGATGCCCCTTTTCCCCACTTTTACTCAACATAGTTCTGGAGTTCCTAGCCACGGCAATCAGTCAACACAAAGAAATAAAAGGCATCCAGATTGGCAAGGAAGGAGTTAAACTGTCACTATTTGCAGGTCACATGATATTGTACATAAGAAACCCTAAAGAATCCACTCAAAACTACTAAATATCTGAACTCAGCAAAATTTCAGGATATAAAATTAATACACAAAAATCTGTTGCATTCCTATACACTAATGATGAACTAGCAGAAAGACAAATCAGGAAAACAATTCCATTCATAGTTGCATCAAAAAGAATAAAATACCTAGGAACAAACCTAACCAAGGAGGTGAAAGACCTATACTCTGAAAACTACAAGACACTCATGAACTCATGAGAGAAATTAAAGAGATACCAATAAATAGAAACACATCCCATGCTCATGGACAGGAACAATTAATATTGTCAAAATGGCCATCCTGCCTAAAGCTATCTACAGATTCAATACAACCCCTATGATAATATCAACAGCATTCTTCAACAAACTAGAGCAAATAGTTCTAAAATTCATGTGGAACCACAAAAGACCCCAAATGACCAGAGCAACCCTGAAAAGGAAGAATAAAGCAGGGGAGATTATACTCCCCAACTTTAAGCTCTACTACAAAGGTATAGTTATCAAGACAATTTGGTACTGGCACAGGAACAGACCCATAGACCAATGGAACAGACTAGAGAGCCCAGATATAAACCCAAGCATATATGGTCAATTAATATATAATTCAGGAGCCATGGATATACAATGGGGAAATAAATGACAGCCTCTTCAACAACTGGTGTTGGCAGAACTGGACAGCTACATGCAAGAGAATGAAACTGGATTATTGTCTAACCCCATATACAAAAGTAAACTCAAAATGGATCAAAGACCTGAATGTAAGTCATGAAACAATAAAACTCTTAGAAGAAAACATAAGCAAAAATCTCTTGAATATAAACATGAGCAACTTTTTCCTGAATGCATCTCCTCAGGAAAGGGAAACAAAATAAAAAATGAACAAATGGGACTATGTCAAGCTAAAAAGCTTCTGTATAGCAAAGGACACCATCAACAGAACAAAAAGGCATCCTACAATATGGGAGAATATATTTGTAAATGACATATCCAATGAAGGGTTAACATCCAAAATATATAAAAAACTCACATGCCAACACCCAAGAAGCAAATAACTCTATTAAAAAATGGGTGGAGGATATGAACAGACACTTCTCCAAAGAAATTCAGATGGCCAACAGACACATGACAAGATGCTCCACATTGCTAATTATCAGGGAAATGCAAATTAAAACCACAATGAGATATCACCTCACGCCAGTTAGGATGGCCAATATAGAAAAGACTAGGAACAATAAGTGCTGGTGAGGATGCAGAGAAAGGGGAACCCCCTACACTGTTGGTGGGCATGTAAACTAGTTCAACCATGGTGGAAAGCAATATGGAGGTTCCTCAAAAAACTAAAAATAGAAATACCATTTGATCCGGGAATTCCACTCCCAGTAATTGACCCAAAGAAAACAACTTCTCAGATTCAAAAAGACATATGCACCCCTATGTTTATTGCAGCACTATTTACAACAGCCAAGATGTGGAAGCAACCTAAGTGTCTATCAGTAGATGAATGGATAAAGAAGAGATGGTACATATACACAATGGAATACTATTCAGTCATAAGAAAGAAACAAATCCTACAATTTGCAACAACATGGATGGAGCTAGAGGGTATTATGCTCAGTGAAATAAGTCAGGCAGAGAAAGACAAATACCAAATGATTTCCCTCATTTGTGGAGTATAACAGTGAAGCAAAACTGAAGGAATGAAACAGCAACAGACTCATAGACTCCAAGAAGGTACTAGTGGTTACCAAAGGGGAGGGGGAGAGGAGTGAGAAGGGGATTGTGGGGTATCATGATTGGTAAACATGGTGCCTGTGGGGCCACGGGGAAGACAGTATAGCTCAGAGAAAACAAATAGGGACTCTGTGGCACCTTACTACACTGATGGACAGTGACTGCAATGGGTTATGCGGGAGGCATTCAATAAGGGTGAATGTAATAACCACATTGTTTTTCTTGTGAAACCTTCATAAGAGTATATATCAATGATACCTTAATTTAAAAAAAATTCCTATGTGTAGGTCATTAGTCACCCATTCATGGAAAATGTTAAATATCACATTTAAACATTAACCAAATTTTACCTAATAACATATGGAATCAACAATGAGAAGCTGGTGTAAGTAGTTAAGAGTACAAACCCAGGAGCTAAACTATCTCGTTTCAAATTCTAACTTTGCCAGTTACTAGCTCTGTGATTGGACAAAGCCCCTCAAGTTACCTATGTGCTAGTTTCCTCACAGTAAAATGGGGAAGTACTGCATGGGGTTTTGTAAGGATTAAATGAATTGGTATATATAAAGTGCTTAGAATAGCATCTTGTTCATAGTAGATGCTAGTGTTAACACTGTTTTATTATTATTATCAGGTGCTTAAACCTACATATCTCTTAAGTTAAATGACTCTTTAAATTTCTGTCAAATACTTCATATCATTTACAACTATATGAAAAATAATATGACAATCTGATAGTTTTAAGAAAATACCTAATATGTAACTAATAATGATAGCTTCACAGTTGTCAAGTTTTGAGAGGCTACACACTCTAATGTTATTTTATCCTCTCAAACATTTTTGGAAGCCTTTTGGAATTGCTTTCAGATCCTGTGGCAAGACCTATTCTGGCACAACATTATTCTCTGAGTATACAGTTAATTTGTAACTCATCAGAAGTCCTTCTGGAACCAAAGTCAATTACTAAAGTAGGTTTATCAAACTATCCTACAGCATATGATCTATAATGTTAAGGTAGTCTTCTTGTGTGGCCCTGAAAATAGTTCCAAAGGAGAGTTCCAAAAATATATTTACCAGTATTTTTGTAATATGTATAAAGCTCTGATTTCGAGCCTGCTTATAGAGGGGCTGCGGAGTGGGGATTCATGCTTCTTTAGTCAGATAGCCACAATACACTTTATTGTAGTATGTATCACTCTTTTATACATCATTTATTAAGACTTTTCTGTCTTTTGACTTTAAAATATAAGAAACTTTCATATTTAAAATCAAAATATATACTCTGTATATAGTCATTTATTTTATTTGGGAGAATATTACATATCTAATCAATCATTAATATTAACAATTAGTCAATGTTTAAAGTAGCATGGGATGACATACTTTTTTAGATGGACCTAAAGCAATTTTACCTTTCTTTTAGATGACAAACTATCCAGAAGTCTCTCATTTTCAGTCAAACTGGCTTCTGCCTAAAGTCCATATAGACCTTTAATCCCCACTAATGAGGAAAATATTCTGAAAAGCACAGATCAGACAATCTGAAGCAGTCTAAACTTTGCTTGCATCTCTCTTTCAAGTCTACTGAAAGATTAGAAAGACCCTGTCACAAAAGAAACTGGGATTGCCAACACCTTAGGTAAGTAAATGGGGTCTCAGCATACAGTGAGGATAAAAGATAGGCAGAGGGTCTAAACAGGTTAAAAGACTTTAAAAGTTTAGAATTTCATTTAAAAACATTTAGTTGTAGAGATAAAAACTAATAAAAATATAAAGGGGTCATATTGCTGCTATTAAATCTTAGGTACAGTAATATTTACTGAGCACTGTGTTCCAGATACTATACTAAGTAAGTGCTTCATTTATTCTCATTCAATCTTCACAACAATCCCAAAAGCAAGGTATTGATATCGTGTGTTACAGCTGAGGAAACTGAGGCTTAGCAGCCCAAGGTCCTGCTGCTAGTATGTAGTAAAAGGCAGGTTTTAAACCCAAAGCCTATAATTTAGCAATATTACATAATTAGTCATTTTACTACTCATTTTATCTACAGAAATATTAGACTAACTTGTAGTATTCAGAGGCAGTTTCAAATTCACCAAGAAATATATACGCATTTCCAAGGTTGCTATATGCTCTTCTTTCAGCTGCTTTATCTCCAAATTCTTTTGCAATAAGGAGGCGCTGTAACAGAAAACTTTAATTAGATATAGCTATTTAAAAAAATAAATAAACAATAATCTAATCACTGTTCAAAATGATGATGGAGAAAATGACTTGGCTCCAAAGCCTTATACTGTACCTGCTCATGAGCTATAACTGCATCCCTAAAGTTGCCAAGGAGGTAATGCGTGTTTCCAAGATTTCCAAAGGCACGTCCTTGGGCGGCTCGGTCGCCCAAAGCAGTCACTAGTGATAAGTTTTCCCTAAGTGATTAAGAAAGTTATGAAAAAATAAGTTTGAGAAAAAAATATATTGAGTTGACATACAAAATCTAATTCTTTTTATCAGTAAAAAATTTAAATAAGCTCATAGTCATAATGTGCCACATAGATGGAAGGTGATTATAGGAAATAGCTGGGAATACTTTACTGTTCAGGTAGATTTCTGCCCAGAGTCAAAGACAGAGTTAACCTTGGAACCCCTATCACTACGTTTTATGAAATTCTATTGATGAAAGAAAGACTAAATTTACTCCAAAAGACTTAAACATTGATAGTTTTTCTTTTTGCCACTATGTGGCACTGGTCTACAGTTTAAATAGGGAGGGGATTACTGCTATTACAACATTACAACATTTTAGCAACAATTTGATGATTTATTTTTACTTGCTAGTCTATAATTTGAAAACCTTTCCCAAGCTTAAAAACTTACTACGAGATAATATTTAGTAGACCTCCAGCTTAGGTGGGCCACACGACTGCATCAGCGCTACTCACTCATAATAATCCACGGCTGCCTGCAGAGCATTCTTCACCTCTTCCGGAAATTCTCCTCCATCTTGAGGACCAGGGTAGCCAATACTTTTCCCTTTGGCATGATACACATTTCCAAGATTGTAAAGTGCTCTTGCTTCTCCCACCTTGATAAAGATAGCAGCAGAGCTTACATTTTGAAACCAGAGGTCAGGTATTTAAATGCTTATCACTTATATTTATTTGTAATATTGTTAATATTAAGGTCAAGAGAAAGAAATGCTTACACTGGCTCTCTACACAGAACCAAATGATTAATTATGAAAGGACTTCTCACTACTTCCTTTTTTTCGCCTCTATTTTAAAATTTTTATTATTTCTTTTTCTATTTTTCTGAGTATTTTCTTTTTTGGTATTAACTTTTAGACAAGCTACAGAACAATTAAATTTAAATAGAATTAAAACACAAAGCAATTTCAATGAACACATTGGTCTGCCATGTAATGTTTCCTTATTACCTTGTCATTAAGCTCTTTTGAAATATCTAGGTGTCGCTGACAACAAACTACAGCTTCATCAAAATTCCCAAGAACTTTTAAGGTATTTCCCAGATTACCACTAGCTTTGGCTTCCCCCAACTGGTCTCCAATAGTCCTGAAAACAAAAAAAAAACAAAAAAGAGCACGCACACACAAATGGTGTTAAAATATAAAGTGGCCAGAGTACAGTTTTCCCTAGAAGACAACTGACACGCTTAAGGTCAGACAGACCCATTAGCCTTGAAATCTACTTTAAATATTTAAATTTAATTTTCATTCATTAATTAAACTCCAGGGACATTTCACTACTACTCATTCATTTAATTAAACTCTGTTAGCCTAAGATTAGTTTTAAAATGCAATGCTATTGAATTAGAACTCACTAAATATAATGAATTAGTTTTTTAATTGAATGAGAATATTTCTTAGTGACAGTTAATTTAGGGAGAAAGAGTATTAATGAATTACCTTGCAAGGGTTAAATCATGATGATGGTATTCTAATGCTTTGGCATAATCATGCAAATAGAAATAAGCATTGCCCAGCTGGCTGTAAATAGCGCTAAGTGTTTTTAGGTCTTCAGTTCCAACTTGAACTGCAGCTTCAAAGAATGACACACCAGCACGACAGTCTCCTGATTTACACAGTCGTTCCCCTTCCAATGCCAGTTCTAGGCAAGAAGCTTCCATTCTATAAAATTATATAGGACAGACATTTACAACATTACATTTCAACTGTACCACAGCATTTTTAACTTATAGTAATATAATTTAAATATGGACTGTGGCTGATCTTGCTCAGAAAAACTGTCTCAGTAATTGAAATATATACACACTGATAAAACAGTAAATATTTATAGCAAGAGCTAAACTGTCTACTCAAATGTCTCTGAGCCTCAGTCATCTATATAAGATAGCTAACTATCTCTGTATGGAGTCCATTTTAATTGGCCCATCCACAGCAACCTACTTAACCAATGAAACTAGTGTTTCCTAAATTGTTCTGGGTTATTGGCAGACTTACAGACTTCCTGAGAGTTTGGGGAGAATAAGGGTGCCTGGGGAAGGTCAAGTCCTATAATTGATTCTCTTCTCTATTTAGGTATGCAGGTGATCTACTCCCCTGTCCATCAACTCATCCAACATCCATCTCTCTTTCTCTGTCTCATACACACACACACACTCCTCACCTCCACATGATCAACTGTACTTTAGAAAAACAGAGGAGCAAAGTGCCTTGATCTGCAAGGTACTTCCATAAGAGAATTAAGTGTCAAGAAACTTTACATTAGAAAGCAATGATTTAAAGATGTGCAGAATTCTAATTCTCAAAGTCTGTCACTGAATTTTAAAACAAAATGAATTAAGTTACCATAAACATATCTAGGGGGAAAAGCACCGATACTTTGGATTCTAATCCTTAACTTTAGAAGATACCCTTCACCCAGTCACTATTGTGTTTCTTCAACATTTTCATCATTCTGCCATGTCTGTGTACTACCTAATCACTCAATGTTTCTATAATTTAGCAGATTTCCTTTAAATGACACACATCATTTAAGAAAATTTAGCTTCATCCAAAGCAGTAGCCTTGAAAATGTTTGACATGATGCGTGTTTATTTTCTAATGCACATTAAAACAAATATATAACTATTAGAATAAAAAAGCAAGTAAAACTGCCTTATGTACCAGTGGTATAATATCACCCTTGGAAGACTCTGATTTAGTTCATCAAGTATTTCAATTTTTGGAGCAGCCCTAAATTACTATTACTAGATTGGCTTTAAGAAACCTGAAGACAGCAGTGGTTCTTAAACCTGACTGCACAGTAATAGGGTTCATAGAGAGCACTTTTTAAAATTCTCATTGCTGGGTCCCACTCTCTGGGTATGAGGTCTGGCCATCAGTTTTCTTGAAAAGCCCCCAGGGTAATTCCAACATACAAGCCAGGGTTGAGAATAACTGCTTTAGTGGAAAATGTGAATTAAACCACCACTTACCCTAAATTTTTCAAATATGATTGTATTTTTGTATTTCTAGTAGCAGGTCAATTAACATGTTCTTTAGGTGCTATCTTTTAGCCTATAAAACTCCAAAGTTCCTTATAGCCATACATTAAAATTGAATTGTAAAAGTGGAAAATAAAGCTAAAAGAAAATCTGAACTAAGATTAAAAGAGCCAATTATAAAGGGTTAAAGCAGACTTCTGATTCAGTATAATAGCAGATTTATGTAGTCATCTCTGATAAGTAATTTTCAAGTTTTATATCCAGGTATCTTTTTATAATTCAAGTGATTTAGCCAAAGGCTACTGCTTGTTTACAGCTACTAATTTCACCCTCACTTTATGGATCTAGTCAAAATAATGCATGTAAACCTCCATTTAACATTTTGTTTCAACATTAGACCAAATCAATTTGCTATAGGAAGAAAAATCTAAAGTACATGGAAAATAAATCAGCTAAATCAGAAACTAAATTGCTGTATTTTCATTTCTTCATCATTTCAGATTAAAAGACCTACTTCTGTCTTTCACAAGTGAAAACTGCCTTTTAGAACTGTATTTTTGAAAATGAGAGATTTCATAGAAGAAAAATTTTTTTGAGGCTTTATACAGTTACTGGTGTTTCAGTGTGTGAAGAGAAATGAGTCAGTAAAAGATTAATATGTAAAATGTGATTTATTAAGGGGTTCTTTTGCGAATTGTCTTTGTCTAAATACTGAAACCAAGGAACATCTAAAAGTTACCAAAAAAGTTGGAGAAGATACTTTTCCATATAAATATATTACTTTTTCTATTAAAAATTTAAAATGTAAGAATGGCTTCAATTACATAAAACAATTACATACTAAGCAATTTCACTCCTAGGAATTGATCACCCCATCCCCCCAAGAATTGATCTTGAAGCTGTATATACACAAATTCAAGAAGATTTATGTAATAGGATTTTCACAGTGGTAAAAAACCACAAATGTCCATCAATCGCATTGGTTAAACAATTACCTGACACCATACAATGGAATACTAATGATGGCACATGATTTCACTGAGGGAAAGGGGGAGAGACAGGGCCATCACTTCAGGACTGTTAGGCTGCTGGGCCAGGAAATTAGGGATAAGGCAGAACCAGCTATTCATATGCAAGACATGTAAAAACTGGAAGTTTACAACAGTGTGTGCCTATATCCATACAAAACTGAACTGTCTTCTTCAAATAAATATCTTCACCACAGATATTTTACCTTCTGGATTTAAATTTATACAACATTATATTGGGACATAAGATGAATGGTGTTTTAAGAGCTACAAATTTTCTAAAAGCCATTTTACGTAAGTCTCATTAGAAATGATGATAGCAAACTGGAACCCTGCTGGATACACAGCTGTCTTTGAAGTCCATGGAGTGAGACTGCCCTATAAGTGAGAGCCTACCTTATAAACAAGTTACTTTAGCAACTAATGTCCCCCCCAAAAAAAGTCCAAAACTCTGTAATTTATCATTAATTTTGAAATACATTATGGCTCTACTAAATTTTATTAAAAAAGAAGCCAATATATTCTGGCAAAATCTCCAACATGTCAACCAAATATATCTAATTGCAAAACAGTCAAGGCAGGTTGGTTTATAAATTTTTTAGAAGATCATTAAATAGTAACAGAGAAAGTAATTTCATATCCTCTGTATCTATGAGAGAATAGAATTACTTCATTTGCTTAAAGACACCCAGAAGAGAAGACAAACCAGAAAATACCTCTCCATTCAAATACACCCCACATAAAAAGTTTTTTTATTCTTTCTAATGGTCTACCGAGTTGTATAATCAAAGAAAGTACATTTCTAATAACTACAAATTGAGTACTCTCTTTCACTGAAATGTTATTTTTGCTAAAATTCCTGATTTTCTGCAGAAAATTATGTCATTTTAATTTTTACATCTTATTTTTACTTTTTTCCACACTAGATTTTTTTTTACCTTCTTAATTTTGTTTCTTGTGTTCAGTATATCAATGAAAGCAAAAGAGAATTAAAACCTTGATGCTACATCATTTTAAAAGACAATACCAATTATGTCCAAATCTAACTCTTTCCTCAAAGGACTTACATACTATTTAAGAATAAATGATGGAATTCAGAACTTAAGATTCAAAACACAAACACAGGTGCTCTATATCTTCTCCATTGTGCTGCCTTCTGTGGCTGTCGAATCTTTCTTAGTTCTCCCTTCTACGCGTTCTGACTGGGCACGGACTCTTCCATTATCAGTCCATGCCCCCATAAACAATTTTTATTCAATTTACCACATTTATAGTTATTCTAGTTTACTTTGCAAAAGGGAAAGCAGCAAAAAATTATCATCATTTAAATTTAGGTTGGTAAGTTAGTTTTAAAACTGATTTTACTATACATTATATCAAATTTAAGTCTCAATATAACCCTCTGAGATAGGTATTATTACAGAAAAGGAGAATGATGCTCAGACAGTGACCTGACCTTAAGATCATATAATAGCAAAGCTAAGAAATGAAACCCTGTCTTTGTTTCCTAATCCAGTGCTCTTTCCACCATTCCACATTACCTCAAACTGATCTTTAGGAAAGAATATTATTAACACCTTTATCTAACAAAATTGAAGAATTCAACACAAAACTGAAGAATTACAACTTACATGCACTAGTCTAATTTTTACAATATTGAAGTACTGAAATGTTTATTATTCATAGTAACAAGTATAAACATTTCTCAATGAAATACAGAACTAGAGAAACTAGTATAATGAACGTGAACTTTCAATATCAACAATTACCAACATACAGTATTTTCAATGTTTCATATCTGTTTCGCTCCTCACTCTTCAACCCGAATCTTTTGAAATACATCCCAGAAAAAGTGATTTCATCTGTAAATATTTAAGTATGTATGACTAAAAGAAGTCATTTACAAAAAAATATAATCATCATACCTTAAAATATTAATGATAATTACTAAAAATCAATCATATACTTTTTAGTTTAGAAACTAATTCTATTTTACTATCAATCTCCATTTCTCTTTACCTTCACAAATAGGTTGCAGAATATTTCATAAAGCATTCTGATCTCTCTCAGGAGTTTCTGAAGAATTATTACATTTCAAAATTACAAACTCACTATGCCACAGAAACTCCTCCAGGGATAGATGAGGATCTCCACAATAAAAGAATCAGATGGATAAAATATTACATACTAGGTGTTTATCAGAATAGAAGAGTAACTTATAGTAGGCCATGACTCCTAGCACAAGGGAGGGATACAAACTATTACCTAGAATTATACAATAATCCAGTCAATATACAGAATGCTGATCTTAGAAGCACTGATGAAGCCAGAGATTTGTTTGGTATATGCTTACTAAAAATAGTTTTGAATTTCTTTTGGTGATGTCCTATACCAATGTATAACCATGTTTGACTTTTGCTGTATTATTAGAAAAGGACATACCTAAACTTCCTACCAGTAGAGGTCACAATCCACTCCTTATCTACTGTCTTTACAGTATTAAGAAAACCACTCTAGAAAACACTTAGCAAAACAGATAAATATCTTACTAGGTTCATCTCATGGGATGGTTATGTCCACAGTAGTTCAATGGACAGTCCTTCAAATGAGCCAGACAACATGCTAGGTATCATAGATGCCCTAAGGGAGCTAACTGTTCAAAGAAAAGAGTGGTGAAAGAAGGAGACAAACATATAAACAGATACCTTGAATGTTAATATAGTTGGTGCTAAGAGAGAGATTTGCACAGGATGTTATGTGAGCATAGGGAGGGCACATAACCAAACTATGGAGTTTAGAAATGGTTTCCAGGACAACATAACCTCTGAGCTGAATGTTAGATATTGAACAGAATTAGCTAAACGATGACAGTGGGAAGGGCACTCAAGTCACAGGGTGTAGCATGAGCAAAGGGACAGAGAGATGGAACGGTATGACATATACAGGAACCAGGGCTCAAAGTGCAATGTGAAGACTGGAAAGAAGTAAGGATGAAGGAAAAGGTAAAGGCCAGAAAATCTTGTGTACTATGTTAAACTTGGCTCTGCCCTACAGGTGACCAAGAGCCACCACATGAGTTAAGCAGAGGTTGCATGATTAACTCTATGCTTTAAACTGAGCCCTCTACTGGCAATTTAAAAAGATGGATTCTAAGCACATAAGAATGGAGAATGGGGGGAGTCTAGAGGGAAGATGATTGTGGGGCTTTAACTTTATATATTGCAGTGGTGGAGAGGATACAAATGGGTGAATGAATCTAAGCAACATTTAAGAGGTAAAACTGGCAAGACTTCACAATGGATAGAGAGAGTGAGAAGGGAAGAAAATATATAACTCCCAGGTTTCTGGAACCATGCCCAAAACGGTAGAGGGAAGCCATTTTATATATTAAAAGCTCATTTTAATTATGTTGAGTGTCTTCCATTTCTTTTATTTGAAACTTTTTCAATTTTAATAGAAATACCCTCGCCTTACGTGTGGGTATAAATTTCCTTGGCACTACGCCCTAACATGAACCACCTGCTCCAAAGGATGATAAATTTCCTATTTCCTGAACGTGTGTTAAGATCTAAGATTTGGTAGCAAACACTTTCACTCATTAGGGATTTTTAACACTATTCATGCTATATGTTCTGATGTTTAGTATGAACTTGTAACAATTTTGATAAGTAATCTGTTAATATCTAATTACCTTATTAATAATTATGTACCTTCCATTCTAATATTTATGTTTCTGTTTATTTTAGTTTAGTGCAATGACCAGAACTTCCAGAAGAAATGTTAAATAATAATGATGCAGATATCCTTGCTTTGTTTCTAAATGTATCAGAAATGTCATTAATATTTTATCACTAAATATTAAGCTGGCCATTAGTTTATCATGTTAGAAAGTATCCATTCATCCCAATATTAATACCCATTTTTTAAAAAGCTAATTTTTATAAAAGATCACCATTTTAAAATTGTAACTCAAAAATTAGGTCATTCACCTTAACCACATTATAAAATCCATCTTTCACATCCAAAGATTTAGATATATTTCATTTTTATATTTACAATATACAGAGTGATAAAATATAAAGGAATTGTTTGTGAACTCTTCCACAGAACATTGAACAAACTATAGTGTACAATTGGTATCTACTATCATTTTCCTCCAGAAAGGATATAAAAACTTACAATAACCACAGCAAAAAGAAAATATTGTTTATAGAAGATACTACTGTGGCTGGCATATTTTGAATGTTTTCAACTTAAATCTGAAATGATCGAGTTAAATACAAGCTTAAATTAGGATTAAAAAATCACCCACTAAGAAAACAGCAGTCTTACCTGTAACGAACAAGAAAAGAATGATCTTCCCTCATACTTATCAAATTTTCCTCCATTGAGTCATATTACAAGCTGGGTAAAATATGAAATTATTTTATTTTGTGCCAGTCCAGTTCTTTACAATGTAGAATTGTTGCAGAACATTGTCCGGTTAGTATATTAATGAAATGGTATTAATACATCCTAAGCTCCTGCTTCTTCTTTATTAATAATGAAAGGAGGTCAATGTCAGACAGCTTAAAGGTTCAAATTGTGTCCCAAATCCTTGCATCTCTGGCTCTCAGCCGTATTTCAGCAACATTTCTGTAAAAGGAATACAAGAAGCTTTGCTTGAAGTCCTACTTTCAAAGAATAACCTAAAGTAATTCTAAGCTGTACATAATCACAGCTAACTCCAGACTGCTGTCATGTCAGTCATAGGAGAAAAACTGCAGAGGGCTTAACTGTCACCATGAAGCTTTTCTAAATAAGGATGTGAATATATGAGATTTATTTGAGAACTGTATTGTAATTTTTAAAATTGGTCTGAAATACAATAATTTTATGTAGTATTTATATTATGAACAAATAGAAGAGACTATGTATTACAGTATCTAAAAAATTATGGTATATCAAGCTTTGAAAAACTATTAACAAGTAAAATGGAAAGGTAATAATTAAACAAATCAATTTTAAATTTATTTCTTCAAAGAAGATATTTGTTATCTTCTGATAACCAATCTGATAATTGGGTTATACTTGTATTTATTTGCTCTCAAAGTATATTCTATTTAAACTCTAAGGTCTTTAAAATGTTTTTATTAATACTGAATACATACAAAAGAAATTCAGGAAATATGAATATGGTACAATGATACAATAAACATTTATATATCACCACCCCGTTTCAGATAAAGAACAACACTGTCACCACCTTTGCCTCCTGAGTGCCTCAGGCTAACCCATCACCTTCTTTTCTTCTCAAAGGTGATCTCTAAACTGAATTTTGTTCATTATACCCTTACTTGTCTTTGTAACTTTGCTACAAATGTCTGTGGAGGCCTAAATAATATATTACTTAGTTTTGTATGGTTTTGCTCAACATATTTCTGAGACTCATCTCACTTGTTGCACATAGCTACAATTTACATATTTTTATTCTGTATATTTTATTGTACACCAAAAATGATTTTTTCATTCTGCTATGCAAGGGCATTATACTTTTAAAAATTATTTTTGCTACTATTGAAAATATTGCTGTGAACATTAAAATAACTCTGGTTAAACAGCAAAGCAGATAAGCTAAAAAGAGAATGAGTGAACAAGAATACCTGAAGAAATTATCCAGATGTACATAAATAAAGAGATGAAAAACACTCAAGAGCAGTTCAGAGCAAGGAAGATGAACCAAGAAGCACTAACAGAAGTCTAATTGAGAACCAGAAGGAAAAACAGAAAGAGGAGTAAAAGCAAAATCTTTAGTAATAAAAGATTGAGAATTTTTCGACTTCCTAATCAGGTAATTAAACATGAGGCAATCAGAGTGATGTACTAGTTCATCTTTCTATATACTTCTGTCATTTTCTAGGATATGAGAAAAAAATACGGCTTTCTCTTATTTCTCTGTGATCAGACCAAACACTGCTATGAGCTAACAGTTTTGTTAACAGTGAGGTTTTTGGATAATTGTTAGAACCTGTGAGATGCTGTTAAGGACTTAAGTGTTTTTTGCAAACTATTATGTCTTAACGGAGGTTGAACTTGATGACTTTGTAATATTCTTACAAAAGTATAATTTCCATTCCATTTTCTGATCCCGTCACTAAATTTTCTTATCCTATTGAACAATTCATAATTTAGTATTTGTTACAGATTTATTAGTATTATACTAGTAATATATAAGCTAAATGGGTTTGTTAACTTCAGGTAATGTGGAGCATGAAGGAGCACATCATTACTAAATTGGAGTGTTCTTGCAACGTGAATCATGACTGACTCAAGAATTACTTGTTCAGTGAGTATAAGAAATGCTACTTAATTGTTATGGAGATTGTAATGTACCAATGACTTTTTTGGGATATACTCTTCTTTTGAGAACAGTAAAAACATTATAAAATTTCCTTAGTAAAATGGTGGATAACACTCTGTCTTGCTTTGTGTAATTATTTTTTAACTCTTTATATATATTTGTTAATTTAACTACATGTTACATTTTACTAAGTATGAAGTTAACATACTTTAAATGTTTGGTAAAATTTGGAATTTCAGTATCTTGTGGATAGAAAAATATTTCAATAAATTTTTAATTTAATTCTAAGTTAAATTAATTCTAATACCACACCTTTTGCCCCATTTAATAAATAATAGCCTACACCTCAAAGTGGCTAGTGGAAGACAGTTTGGTTAACAGTTCAGCTGTTGTATAATCTCGATGCACTCTGAAACTATTTTTACGAATATCAACACTAATTCCTTTAATAGGTTTTTTTATTAAGGAAAAGAGGGGCACAGTGGAATTCTGATCAAAAGAAAAAGATTTGTTTGATTAATGGCTTGTACCTATCTTCTCATCTTCTCATCCTTTCTTAAAATACTCCTTTTTTGGGCAAGGGAAGAGATCAAAGGAATAATATTTTGTATTTCTTGTATGGTTTAAACTGATTATTAATATGAAAACCTCAGTTCCTCTAAGAAGCTTGTTGATATTCCCAAGGCTGGTTCTTTCCATCTTTTACCTTCGTTCTTTTTACAGGCCCTTACTTCTCTATTCCCTACTAAACTCTTTAACTGTCCTTAATTAACAAAGCAGAAGGTGTGTATTATTTAGGGTCTAGTTTGTTACAGCTGAAATGCTTAAAAGGACATGAGGTGGAAGAAGAATTAGGCTTTATTGGATGGCAGCAGAAGGAAGAAATGGGTAGAAATGGAAAGATTGCCCAGAGTATTCAACAACTTTCTAAAAGGACTATTCAAAATTAGGATTAGCTGTTTTATGACCTTTCCAGGAATGCTGCAGTAGAATGCTGGGCTAACTGACCTACTGGGTTGTTTATAACATGGATTTTTCAGGACTTTATAATTGTATCTATTAATTTATATATATATATATATACACACACACACATATATTAATTTTTTTTATTAAGGTATCATTGATATACACTTATGAAAGTTTCACAAGAAAAACAATGTGGTTATTACATTCACCCTTACTGAGTGCCTCCCCCATAACCCATTGCAGTCACTGTCCATCAGTGTAGTAATAAGATGCCACAGTCCCTATGTCTTCTCTGAGCTGTACTGTCTTCCCTGTGACCCCACACATACCATGTGCACCAATCATGATACCCCACAATCCCCTTCTCCCTCCCTCCCACCCCTCCCCTTTGGTAACCGTTAGTCCCTTCTTGGAGTCTGAGTCTGCTGCTATTTTGTTCTTTCAGTTTTGCTTCATTGTTATACTCCACAAATAAGGGAAATCATTTGGTATTTGTCTTTCTCTGCCTGACTTATTTCACTGAGCATAATACCCTCTAGCTCCATCCATGTTGTTGCAAATGGTAGGATTTATTTCTTTCTTATGGCTGAATAAGTATTACACTGTGTATATGCACCACATCTTCTTTATCCATTCATCTACTGATGGACACTTAGGTTGCTTCCATATCTTGACTATTGTAAATAGTGCTGTGATAAACATAGGAGTGCATGTCTTTTTGAATCTGAGAAGTTGTTTTCTTTGGGTAAATTCCTAGGAGTGGAGTTCCCGGGTCAAATGGTATTTCTATTTTTAGTTTTTTGAGAAACCTCCATATTGCTTTCCACAATGGCTGAACTAGTTTACATTCCCACCAGCAGGGAAGGAGGGTTCCCCTTTCTCCACATCCTAGCCAGCATTTGTTGTTCCTAGTCTTTTCTATGTTGGCCATCCTAACTGGTGTGAGGTGATACCTCATTTTGGTTTTAATCTGCATTTCCCCGATAATTAGCGATGTGGAGCATATTTTCATGTGCCTTTTGGCCATCTGAATTTCTTCTTTGGAGAAGTGTCTGTTCATATCCTCCACCTATTTTAACACATATATTAATTTATATATATACAAATACATAGACATAGACACACTTGCACACACATATATTTGTGTGCATATATACACATATATATAGTATTTGTCAGTTTATTTATACACACACATATATCTAAATCTTTGTCTTTCTCAGCTGGTACTTTCATATCCTGGAAACTGACAGAAGTATATACAAAGCTGAATCAGTACATCACTCTGATTGCCTCATGTTTAATTACCTGATTAGGAAGTAGAAATAGGCAGAATTCGTTTTACAGCTAGTTGACTTCTAGGCACTATCCAAGGTATGCAGAGTAAACAATAAATCCTAGCCCTGCTTTAACCCCATTGGCAGTAAAGTATTTGCAAACTAGATGATGGGAGAAAATTGGGGCTAGACAGGGCATTTGGAGAACTTGAGTATTGTTAGGGTATTATTAGGATAAGAGAAGTTTAGAGAAATTTAGATTAACCTGGAGGCAAGAAAAATAAATTTTATTTGTTGTCTAATGGGTGTTACCAGTTGATAGAGATACTTAAATGAAAGATTTCTTTTGTCTTGCTTTCAATTTATCTAATCTACTCTTCACTACAACTTAAATGGCAATAACTTTGGTCTGAATCTTTCATTTAAGTATCTCTATCAACTGGTAACACCCATTAGACAACAAATAAAATTTATTTTTCTTGCCTCCAGGTTAATCTAAATTTCTCTAAACTTCTCTTATCCTAATAATACCCTAACAATACTCAAGTTCTCCAAATCCCCTTCAGCTGTTACATTTCAAGTCCGATACAGTAGCCCTTTATTAACTTGAGCAAGGGTATATATAATATTGAGGAAGAAACAAGAACATATTTAAAATAAAGTCCTTTTATATTAGAATTTCAGGATACAAGTTATACTAACAAATACACATCATAGTAATAACCGGGATAATAAAGTAAGATGCCAAAACATCCACGTACAAAATAAACTGAATACCCTAGGTAAACTGGTTATTTTCCGACAAGATATGTCTGTTTTTTCTAATTTACTTTTAGATGGACTAAACATGGCTTGCCACCTAATCCAAACTTCTATTTCTAATTACATTTTACCTGAAAGATAAAATGGAAACAAGATGGCAAGTTTACCTGAAAGATAAAATGGAAACAAAATGGAAACAAGATGAAAGATAAAATGGAAACAAGAAAGATAAAATGGAAACAAATTATGCTCCCTGTATAACCAAAGTACTAATAAAAGCCATATATGAACATTACATTAGAAATCAAAAGTAGGAAGGTAAAAGCAGCAAGTTTACATAGAAGAATATGAGAGGAGTATAATAAGAAGAAGCAAAGATATAATAAAGTCTAACAGAGAAAAAGCTCAGGGCTTGATTTTAGTGTGGCAGGTGTTTAGAAGCCAATTAAAGACAAAAAAAATTACCTGATGTCAGAATAGATGACTGATGTGGGAAAATCAGTGCCTAAAGCAAGGGAAGGCAGGCCCAACAACCAAGGCTGGGTACTTGATTAAGTAATCTTAAGACTACCTAGAGAAAAATGAAAACAATGCCCATTGACTAGATGTGAGAGGCAAAGGTCAAGCAGCAACAGAGTGGTTACAAGATTTCCAATTTTGAGGATAGGTGGAACAGTAATAATATACACAGTGAATGACAAATTGTATTGCAAGAGTGACACTTCACAGAGGAAAAAAATGGAATACTTATGTTAAACATGTACTTGGTAAAGTGCTGAAAATAATAGCTGAAAGAAAAAAGAAAGACATCAAGCTTGATACTGAAATTGGTAAAATCTGATAAATGGGGAAGGATGGGGGGAACAGAACTGATATTCTGAATATTTGCACATCTTTAAAACTAAAACTTCTTAGAAGTACCAATGAGATCTAAATGTTAACACTGCAGTCAGTGGCAAATAAAAGAGAAATTGCAATAGGAAAAAAAATTAAAGCAATGCATAAAAGTTCTGATCCTTTGTTCAGAACTCTAAACCAATAATATAATTAAACTGTTCAGTTTGAAATTAATAGTGTCTTTACTGTGCATGTATTTGGTATCTTTCATAATGACCCATGAGAATTAATTTCAGATACACTTAGGAATCCTTTTGACTGGAGGTTTGCCAGTCAATATACACTGATTACAGTAATACACAGTGAACTAAAGATAACTCAAGGTTATTTATGTATTTATCATCTATCTATATAGTATTGAATATGGTTTTAGTGTCAACTGATAACTGTCATATAATCGAATGTAAATTACACAATCCCAAATTAATAAACAATCGTAGTGCAGACCATTCTATTTTCTATTACTGTGGAGAAATGAGAATTTACTACATATTATGCTGTAAAAACCGTACCAAAAAAGTTTTCCTTAAACATATATAGAATCCTAAAGTATATACTCCAATTGAGATTGTCTTAATTTATCACTAATCTTTAAATTTACAACCATCAAGTTAGTCTGTGAGATGTTAGAGCAAGTTAGTTTAGAAAACAAGTGTAACTAGCAGTGTAACTGCTGACCAAACACACATTTTTATTACAAAATCTTTCTAATAAGCTATTTGTGACTATCAATAAGTTAAAAAATAGAATAAATTTCAAAGGATAGATTCTAGATTCCAAGTAAATCTGTATCTTAAAGGCATTCCCAAGTGTATCTGAAGTTAATTTTCCTGGGTCATTATGAAAGATACCAAATACATGCACAGTAAAGGCACTATTGATTTCAAACTCTCATTTTTATTCATGGAAGATTTAACAACAACAAAAATTCAGGTCCAGAGCTGTAGACATTAAAAATGTAAAAAAATGAATGTGACCATTTCAGAATAGTATAATCCAAAACCAATTTTAGTAATACAAGAATTTCTGCTCATGTTTTCAAATGTTTATACTGAAAAGCTCACCATTCTAAACAACCATATATAAACTTCCTTTTTTGGTGAGGAACATTTATATTTTATGTATCACATAAAGCAAAAGGACTCCAAACAAATTATGCTCCCTGTATAACCAAAGTACTAATAAAAGCCATATATGAAATTTCAAATTAGATAAACACTAAAACAAAATTAATTTAGAGGAAGAGATTTGAATATTTCAAACCTTCATCTTAACACTTTTTTAACAGTGAGAAAGGATAAGTATATGAGAAAGGACAGCATTAATACACGAAATGCTGAATGCACTTCAAAGTAGTTTGCAACAGTCTCTACACAAAGAACTATGGATATAATAATTATTGCACAAGCAGCTTCTTAGAGTGTTTAGGGCATGGGTAGCCCATGATAAATAAGGAACAAGTTGAATATTTTTCTGGGGGGTGATAAATGAGCAAAGTGCTCTATTTATAGATTATACATGGACTTAATCTGAATTATGCCAGTGAATACACTAATCATTAAAACTGTTTCATAATTGCAATCCTCAGTGATTACAATAATTCAAAAAGGATGAAGCAGTTGCTTAAAAATTTCAAGGACAAAATGAAGGCTACTTTATGCAATATCCCTAATCTTGGGTGCCATTTTCCCTACAAAGCTGTTATGAATCAAAAGTCCTGCTCCAACATGATAACTCACTTATATTTAAAAATAAAAGTATGTTCAACTAATGCGAAATGGTCATATATATTCATTAAAATAAGTATTTTTCTCCCTATTATTTGTTTTTCTCATCAAACTGAAGCCCAGAGTTACAAATAGTATTAATTTTTCCTCCTATAGAACAATTTAAATAGAGGTGGTCTTTTTAATCTATTAGTAAGATTAATAACCTTTTGAAGAGTTTCAGTTAGACATTTGCATAAGGAAAATGATTTCTAGTTATTATAAACATAAAATTGAATACATAGAAGTATTATAATATCAAGGTTATAGAAGACACGTCTCCTAAGAACAAGGACATGCTAATTTTAACCAACCCCAATTACATTTTAAGTGCTTTCCAAATGACTACTCAGGTTATAAGACCAGACCACAAGAAAACGTCTGCCATAAAACACTGACAATTTACACTAAGCCATTTTTCTATTAAAAAAACCCACAAAACCTAAATATATATGTTAGTCCTTGCCATTTCCTGTGTATAGCCTTTTTGTTAATAAATACATGTCAGTTTCTTTTAATCTTTTCAGGGCCTATACAAATTATTAGACAAACATGATGCAATTAATAGGAGCTCAAAGAAATAAATTCAAAATAAACATAGTCTTATGAAGACACTACTATGCCAGAAAAAAGAGAAATACTAGCAAATGATGGGGACAACATAATTTTGAGAAAAACTGGTTACCTAGTCACCCAGAGAATATGGCCCACAACCATTTATTACTACCAGTGTTGGTCAGCCATCAGCTTAAATCAATTAACACAAATATGAAAAATTCAATAGTGAAATAGAAAATGATGCTATTGAGCACTATTCTTGACTTAGTAAATGACAATAAATCAGTTCTCTTTAAAGTCAGAAGGATTTTAAAAAGGTAAAATTGGTTTCAAATATATTTTTAAGCGAAATAAATTCCACATACAAAAGGATTATAAATGTCTAAAAAGGATCCCTAGAGTTTTGGATTTAGATTTTTTCACAGGAAAATATAACTCCATCTTCTCCATCTAAAAGTTATCATTCTGTCGAAAAGTGTTTCTAATCAATTCAGTAAGACTGGGAGGTGATATGGAAAGAAAACTTCTAAGTAAAAATGGCCAAGGAAGGCTTTTTGGCAGCAAATAAATCTGTACTGCACCTTCAAGGATGGGTAGACCTTATTAGGCAAATGGAAGGGAAGGCATTCCAGTCATGGGAAACGCTCAAGCAAAATCAAGGACGTAGGAATGCACAGAATGTGTGCCAGGACAAGAACATTGGTTTAGGTGTGGGGAAAGAAAAGTCTAAGAAGGTAAAATTGTGAGGGACTCTGAATATGCACATGACTAAAGCACATATTTGGCCTTGTATTTGCATAATGGGGAAAAAAATGTTTTTCAACAAAGGAATAGCAAAGTTGGAGCTGTGTTAAGAAGATAAACTGGCAGCAACACATACAGCAGGACAGGGAGACAGGAGAAAATATACTACAAAAACTCCAGAAGCAGTTATTGAATAGAAAGCCTTCTCTTGCCATCTCACAACACCAAGCAAATTGCTTTGCACATAATTGATGTCCAACAAACTTTCTTGATTTCTTGCCTGAGAAGAACTACGAAGCAGCAAAGAGTCCTGTAACAGTGAGAAAACTGCACTTTAATATATTCCTGCTGCACAGTAAAGGGTATATTCATATTCATTTAAATAACTCAGGGGAGTCTTACTCTCAGATTTTTATGATTTTCATAAAGATGATTTAAAAGATGTTGAAAATGTTATGTGATTTATAAGGTACTGAAAAGGAAGACAGTAATCCTGCAAGAAGGACTGAAATATTTCTGCATAGTTCACAACACAACACAGCACCTACAGGCACCTTAAAAGTAGGATTATGTCCCTACAAATGGAATTCAGAGACCAGGGGGAGATTTAAACAAGCACACAGAAGCAATACAGCATGTGCTTTGGGATGAAGCCACGGTCTGAATGCCAGTACACTGAGTTATTCTGTACATGACTGTGGGCTAGTTAAACTCTCAGAGATGCTTTGGGCGTAATGATACTTATCTAACTTGTGTTGTGATGTTTAGACATATGACTTACAAAGCACGTAACCCAGCACCTGGCTCTGGTGTTCTTAACAAAAGTACTCAATTAAGTATAGTAGTAATAATGATCAAATAGCTACTGTTATTATAAAAAAGAACATGTCTATCAGAACAGATTTAGAATTGTCTAAATCTATGTCGGGTTTTCAATTTTAAAATTCCAGATAACCAATTACAAAATGTTATCTTTTAGGTAAATCTTAGAAATATTTTATGCTTAAGAACAGGGCCATTTAAAAAACTTCTATATCCTACGTCTGAGGTTTATATATAAAAAATTGTGTTTGTAACACTGCATGTCTGATTTAATAACAGCAGAAAATACAATTGAACTGCTTATCTAGCCAGAGGATTTGGGGAAAATGTACAACAATGTCCCACTCCTTATAGTATTAACAGCCTGAGAAAGAGCTTGCCAGAACGAAATCCATGGTAAGGTGTAAAGAAAAGTATGACACTGTTCCTCATCTTGAGCCCCCCACACTCCTCACACACGGCCACGTCTACCAACAAGTGACCTTTCCTTTCTTTATGTTGCTACTCGTAACAACCAAAGCTGCTTCTTGAACAGCGACAACCCAAGCAAAAGTAGCGTTTATCGGAGGTACTCACACTGATGATAATCAGGCCGGAAATCTTCTGTGCACCCTCTAAAGTTTTAAAGTTCAGCCCGGCTGGAATGTTCACGTCCCCCACACACCACGAGACTCCGATACAAGCCGACAGAAAGGAAAGACAGGAACCTACTTCGTTTAATTCTATGGTAGGGTTAAATTATGCATTAAGGCAAATACAATTTCCATCCTTACTCGTTTTCTTTAACTGAGTTCAGATGATACTACTTAGTACGATCTAACTGGTTCCCATTAAAACAAGGAAATTACAGATTTTTCACTTTTTACGATTCGAAGATATTCCATAGATTCTCAAGAAAGAGCTTAACACTTTATGCTTCCTAAACATTTCTGCAGCAACTACCAATTTCTATGGTAATCCGACAGGTTGGTGTCCCAAATTCACGAAATTAAATGTGGTTAGCGCAGGTTTGACCAAACCGCCGGGTTTAGCCGGCGAGCGCACGACTCGAGGGAATGCCGCGTGCCGCGACGCTAATTCCACAGGGATTCGGGTCTTTAGTCTGCTGTTGGGGGCACCCAGAATACTGAGAAGTCGTTGTATCCTACTACACTTCTAATTTTTCAAAAAAGTTAGGGAACGAGGCTTTTCTCTCATTTTAAGTCTCCAACAAGAAAGCAACGGAGTGCTCGTAAGGAGCCAGCTGCTCCCATCCCGAGTTTCTGGTTTCTCGACGCCGCGTCCCGCCGCCCCCCAGCCCCCGGCCTCCCTCGGTCCCGCACGAAGGCGGTCGCCCCAGACCCGGGACAGAGAATCCGCCCCACACTCGCGCGCACACGCCGGATCCCTGTCAGCTCCCTCCGCCGAGCGCCCCTCAGGACTCACCTCTCCAGGGCCGGCGAGTCCCGGGAGCGTGGTGGACGCGACAGAGCTACAGCAGCTGCCGCCTCAGGCGACCGGCGAGTGGCCGCGGCTCCTCCCCACGGCGGGCCCGCGAGTCAGGGGCACCGCTGGAGGCCGGCGCGCCTCCCGCCGCCGCCTCCGGCAGGCCACGTGAACCACGGCTCGCGGGGCTCCGCTCGCTTCCCGACGCAGCCGTCCGTCACCCAGGGGTCCAGCCGCGCTGCCCGCCCTCCGCGGCTCCCCTCCACTGCGCCTGCGCCCCAGCCCGGGTGGCTCCCATTCAAACCGACAACGCCCCGCGTCTTTCGGACCCGCCAATGGCCGGCGCGGGAGGCTGGGCGGGGCGACCGTCGGCGCTCGGCCTCCGCGGTCCCGGGCGGGAGTTGCTGAGTGTCCAGCTGAGGGGACCGTGGAGCATGTGGTCCTCCGCTGCTCTGGGACCTGTCCTCAGCCACCAAATTGAAGTTTCTTTCCTGTCCTCTTATGTCTTCTTCAGACACTGAAGGGTGAAGCAATAAAAATCGTCCAAAAACAGTTATCGGGGGAGGGTGTGGCCCAGGCCCCTTTAAAAGTCCGGAGCCCAAAACAAGCGCCTCCAGACGGTAAGGCTCGGTTCGGCCTTGGGAATGAGCATCCCGAGCGGCATATGCGAGATGATTAAGAAGAGGGCTCTGTGAAAGGAACAGAGGGACCCGTGTGAAAGTCTGAACAAGGCAGCCTCAGTTCTTAAGGCTGTGTCACAATTCTGGCGTTTCCAGCTGTTAAAAAAGCGAACTTCTGTTGACTGCAGAATCGCTGGTTACCGGGAAAACTGGATGACAGTTCTACTCAGTTTCAGGCAGCTACATTCCAAGTACACTAGGGAAGAATAAGTTTTATTTCCATTCACTTCTTTCCAAATTCAAGTTAACCAAAAAATAGGTCTCAGTTTGTTCTTCACAGAAATAGCAAGATTATAGTCTCTCTGGGATAATGAATCTGATGAATTTAATTCGATCGTTTGGAATTTAAACGTTTCTACAGGCTTAAGGGTACGTGAAAGAAAACCCCAGTTTCAGTATATCTAAATGACGGCGGTAACCAGGGACCAAGCAGCATTCCTCTTCCTGGGAACGTGTTATGACAAATTGGTTAAAATAACAGCTTTGGCATTTAGTTCCTGGATTTGAGTTCCACCTCTACCACTTACTGGCTACTGACCTTGAATGAGTTACTATCTTTAGCCTTAGTTTCCTCAATTATAAAACACAGATACTAAATCCTCTTTTAATAAGGGTGGTTGTCATGCTTCAGTGAGGTTTTGTTACCTAGTTAACATAGTGCCTGATTGCAGAGCAAATGGTACCTATTATAATTATCAACAACTACCTTTAATATCAGGTACTTATAAACAACACTTTATAAGTTAGTTGGCTGTACTATTTCAGAGGTAGGTATTCTAATTCCTTCTTACTCATAAATTCTTTTTGGGTTGTTGATAGGAAGGCCACAAAAGAAGTACAATATATCAAATTCAACATGTGCAGAATTAATCATTATTTCTGTAAGATAAATTCTAGCCGAAATAAACAGGCAAAGAGAGCCAACAAAGGGCCAGGTAATTTATTTGAATGCCCCAGGGTGAGGTGCCGCTGCCTGGCTGTCACTGGCCGGGGATTTACAACGGCACAAGGACTGGCTAGCCTAAGGCACATTTTTCAGGTTGGGGGGGGCAGCAGCCGGGAACTTTGGCACGTCATCAGTGTCTGACGTGCTCACCCCTCCCCCCAGTGCCTTCAACCTTACAATTTCCATCTTGCAAACCTCTTTCACATGTGACTTTATATCATTCATTTTATCTCCATCTTACTCAAGTTGAATTATCTTTTAAATTATCTTTAAAAGGCATAAATCAGACTATGTCACTCTCCTACTTGAAAACCTTTATTGACTTCGCATTTGATTTAAAATAAAATCTGAATTCCCTAGCATGGCCCAAAAAGCCCTAAGTCATCTTGCCTGCCCACCTCTACTCTCTTGCATTTCCGTCCTCCTGTCTTCCTTCTCTCCAGGTAAGCAGGACTTTTTCCTCAGGCCCTAGGATAGACCAAACGTCAGCGTTCTTTAAGGCCCTTTTCCCTAGCAGTTCACTGTGCCTAGATTTTTTTCCCTCTAGGCTCTTTAAATGGCTGGCTTCTTTTTAGCCCTCAGCTTTCAGCTTATTCATTACAGTATTTACAAGTATTTATTGTCTGCTGTGTGTCAAGAACTGTTGTAGGTGCTGGGAATATAGTAATGAGCAAGACAATACAGTCCCTGCTCTCATATACTTCAGTAAAAATAAGAAAGAAGGAAAATACCAGGTTGTGATGGGTACCATGCAGGGAATTCTAAGCAGGGTGATGTGAGATTGATGGATGGAATGCCTGCTTTACATTGAGAGTCACCCGTCTGACGGTATTCATACTGAAATCTGAATTGCAAGAAGGGGCCAACTTGCAAGCAAAGCTCAGGAAAGAGCACTTTAGGGAATGGAGTTGCTAATGTAATGTCCTGTAAAGACAAGCTTTGTGGGTTTCAGAAAATGGAAGACCACTGTGGCTTATGTGAAGTGAAGGAGAGGGGAATATACAAAATGAAGTCACACCAGATCATGTAGGCCCTTGTAAGCCACTGTAATGAGTTTGGGCTTAATTTTCTAAATGTTTTATTAGCCAGCAGAAGATTTAAACATGGGAATGACTTCATATGTTTATATTTTTAAAAGAGCACTCTGAAACAAATCCAGAATTTGAGGCATTCTACAAAACAAATAGCCCAGACTCCTCATAAATGTCATTGTCCTGAAAAAAACCAGAACAGGTTCATGAATCTTGATGAGTCATGATGAAAGAGTCTATAAATGACATTTAAGAAACAATTAGTGATATTTTAATATAGACAGTATATTACATGATATTGTGGAATTATTTTCTTAGATGTAACATGGTATTTTGGTTATAGAGGAGAATTTCTTCATTTTTAGGAGATGAGCTGATACAGTTCCAGGTAAAGAACCATGACTTCCGAAATTTATAGTCAAATAGTTCATCAAAACACAACAAAAGAGAGAAGTATAAACCAAATATTAACAATTAGATCTAGGTGATGACATGTGAGAAGATGCACACACACACAGTTCTTGTACTGTACTATTCATGTATTATTCTCTTACCTTTTCTGGAAATTAGGAATTTTTCAGAATAAAAAGTAAGGAAGAAAATCACTCTGTAGATTTCCATCTCTGACAGTGAAGAACTAGATAACCTGTCCAACTCTCCTACTGGAAATAACTTGAAATGCTTTTGATATTAAAAAGTAGAAAATTTATCAATGAGCTAGCGTGAAAGTAAAGATTACTCAGAAGCTGACAACTAGTAAAAGAGATAGGCAGAGAACTTAAACCAAGGGCTGACTAAACCAAATGAACTTGAGTTTTAGCTGTCATGGGCTCACGAGGCACAGAAAGAAGAGACAAAGGCCAGGTCTCGCCAAGATGAGGAATCTAATAAGAGACTCCACACATAAAGCCAGGATCCACCCAAAGGCCTCTCCAACCTTTTACCAGAAGACTAGAAAAGAAAATTGCCTGTGACCAGTTTTAAAATAGAATGCTGGGAGAAATACCTCCTCTGAGATTTATTTTTTAACCAAAGACAATAATCATCCCTACCTGGGTTGTCTGTAAAACTCAAACACATAAATTACCTTAAAGTAGTTTTGGGTTGATGGTACTCCCAGGCAAGGGGCAAAAGTAAACCAGACCACATCTAGAGGACTGCTATAGACTGAATGTTTGTGTCCCTCTTTCCCCCAAACTCATATGTTTAAACGTAAATCCCAGTGTGATGGTATATAGAAATAAAGCTTTTGGGAGGTGATTAGGTCATGAGGGTAGAGCCCTCATGAATGAGATTAGTGCCCTTATAAAAGAGACCCTGGAGGTCAACCTCACCCTCTCTTCCATGTGAGGACACAGAGAGAGGGTGGCCCTCTTTGAACCAGGAAGTGGGCCCTCACGGACACTGAACCTGCCAGCACCTTGATCTTGGACTTTCCAACCTCCAGAACTGTGAGGAGTGAATGCTTTGTTTAAGCAATTCAGTCTACGTTACAGGCATATCTCATTTTTACTGCTCTTAACTGTATGTTGCTTCACAGATGTTTTTTAAATGAATTGAAGATTTGCATCAGGCAAGTCTATTGGCACCATTTTTCCAACACATTTGCTTACTTCGTGTCTCTGTGTCATGTTTTTGTAATTCCCATGATATTTCAAACTTTTCTGTTATTATTATATTTGTCATGGTGATAGGTCATCAGTGATTATGATCACTGAAAGCTCAGATGATGGTTATCATTTTTTAGTAATAAAGTATTTTCAAATCAAAATATTTACATTGTTTTCTTAGACATAATGCTATTGCACACTTAATAGTCTATAGTATAGTATAACCATAACTTTTACATGTATTGAGAAACCAAAAAATTTATTAGACTTGCTTTATTGTGATACTGACTTTATTTCAGTGGTCTGACACCAAACCCACAATACCTCCAAGGTATGCCTGTATTTTATCAGCCCAAGTTGACTAAGATAACAATTTAACCCAGACCCCAAAAACTTCCACAGAAAAAGTTCTAAGAAATGTGAATTGTCAATTAAATCAATATCACTCAAAGAAACAAGGCATTTGTAGAAGAATTATCAGAAAAAAGATAACAAAATCTAACTCATAAAGACTCTGAAACCAAAACTGTCAGTCATAGATTATAAATAAATATATCTAACATATTTATAGGAATAAAAAAGATTGAAAATGTAAGTAAAGAACAAAGTTTTACAAAAGACGAATAGGACAGGTTTAAAAAGAATCCAGTGAAACTTCTAGACTTAAAAAAAATCAGAATTTAAAATTCAATGGACAGGTTTAACAGCAGATTAGGTAGACTGAAGAGAGAAATGGCAAGCTGGATGATAGAACTGAATTTTTTCTTGTAAAAGAGAAATATGGAGGATAGAGTGAAAAGATCTAACATGTGTCTAGTTGAAATTCAAAGATGAAGAGAAGTGGACAATCCATTAAGCACTATTTGTAAAAACAAAAAGGAGAGAAAAAATCTTTTATCCAGACATAAGATAATGAAAAGGCAGAGCACCAAAAACAAAGAAGTTACCTTAAAACCAGTGAGAGAG